GAAGCTCAGGGAAGTTGTATCCCACGAAGACCCCGAAGCCAAGTATTCCAAGCAGAAGAAGATCGGACAGGGTGCCTCTGGCTCCGTGTACGTAGCCAAGATCAGAGAGAGACCCGGCCAGGACCCCAACGTTGCCAGAAGACGCGGCCAGGTTGCGATCAAGCAGATGGATCTCGCGCACCAGCCGCGTAAGGAGTTGATCGTGAACGAGATCATGGTTATGAAGGACAGCAGTCACCCCAACATTGTCAACTTTGTCGAAGCTTTCCTGAAGAATAAGGACTCGGAACTCTGGGTCGTCATGGAGTACATGGAGGGTGGTGCGTTGACTGATGTCATTGAGAATAACCCCGTTATCACGGAGGAGCAGATTTCTACCATCTGCTTGGAGGTGAGTTGCCGCGCAGGCCTAATCTTGAGCGTGTATCGTTTACTGACTGGAACTTGTACAGACATGCCGCGGTCTGCAACATCTCCACGAAAGGAACATTATTCATCGTGACATTAAGAGTGACAACGTCCTCTTGGATGCCCGTGGCAATGTCAAGATTAGTGAGTTTTTCTACAGCTTGTCCTTCATTACGTTAACTAACTCTGTAATTAGCCGATTTTGGTTTCTGCGCCAAGTTGACCGAAGCCAAGTCCAAGCGCGCCACTATGGTCGGCACGCCCTACTGGATGGCTCCCGAGGTCGTCAAGCAGAAGGAGTACGGCCCCAAGGTCGATATCTGGTCGCTCGGTATCATGGCCATTGAGCTGATCGAGTCGGAGCCTCCTTACCTGAACGAGGAGCCGCTCAAGGCCCTCTACCTCATCGCCACCAACGGTACTCCCAGGCTGAAGAAACCCGAGAAGCTCAGTAAAGAGCTGAAAGCTTTCTTGTCGGTGTGTCTCTGCGTGGATGTCAAGAGCCGTGCGTCGGCGGATGAGCTCATCGAGCACGATTTCCTGAAGCATGGATGTCCCTTGAGCAGCTTGGCGGAGCTGCTTGCCTTTAAGAGGTCGGCGAAATAAAGGGATTGTTGATGAGATGAAAGAGGCAGTGACGATAGGTGATGGGTGGGGGTGGATGGTTAGAGAGTCTTTTTAGCTAGAAGCAAGCAACCTTTGCATGAAAGAAACCTGAAAGGGACGTTTTAATACTGATGGATACCTAGGCAGGGTGGTAGGCTGAAGAGGATGGGTGGACGGGTGGGTTCATCGTCGTTTGGGTCCGGAAATTTTGTCAAAGAAAGAAGAAAGAGAGCAAGCGGTGATATACAACATGATGTACGGGTTTTGGATCTTCTCTCCGATGGAGTTTCGAAGTGTTACTATGCGCGTACGATACCCTTATGGCAACTTAAGTAGGCATGTGTCGTCCTTGTGGAAATGCGGTTGGGAAGGAAGTGGGCGAAGGGCTAAGGAGTTAGAAATGAAAATCGATGTAGAACATGTGTGGTTCAACAATTACGCTTCTCGTCTTCTACATATATCCTTTCATAACCACTATCATACACCATATATCGTATTAGGAACCATAGTACATCCTCCCAATTCATAAAGGTGTGGAAGGTGGCCCGTGCGCCCTTGGACCTTACTATTTGAGAGAACCTCAAAACGCGGTTGTCCTGACAACAAGAACAAACGATCATCAACGAATGAGGAGGAGTATGGGTTGCGATGCACGAGTCAAAGAACCTTGAAGGTCTCGTTGTATGAAAATTGATCGTCGATACGGTCGCATGCACTTCTCTCGTTTTTTTTTTGTTCTGGCCGATTGCAACACTCCCGAGGAGTAAGATGCAAAGATGTCGAAACTTACAGCCAACACAAAGGTCCGCAAATACGGAAAGCCAACCACGAAGAGCAGGGCAGAACTGCTTTTCGCGGAACTGCCCAAGACTCCGGTGAAACAGCCACGCCGAGAGCCCATACCACAGATTCTGGAGCCGGAACCACTACACATTTTGGAGCCCGAAATCTTGGAGCCCAATCCGGCCTGCCATGAGCACCACGAGTCGAAACCAGCCCCAGAACCGGAACCGATGTCCGATGAGGACGATGTTCATGATGTTACAGAACACTTCGACTCGATATTGCTTGATGAAGATGACGATCACCAAGATGCGCCTTACGCATCCACGCCGCGACCTTCAATAGGAAGTTATACGAGTTACAATACCTCCATACAACCACCACCACCACCTAGGACTTCACTGTCATCACAATCCCCACGACTTTCTCCATTCAGAAAACTTGCATCTCCATCACAACCAAGTCCAGCAACACTTCAACCACCCACAACCAAGTCCCCAACTAACCGCCACCCACAACAATTCCCCCTCAAATCCCCACGAGTCCGCCAACTTATCCAAGAAGCCAACCCCCATCAACACCAACAAGACCAAGACCACCAAGAACAAGAATACTCCTTCTACGATACCTCCTCCTTCCACACCCTTTCCTGGGCCGACATCTGCGGTCCCCCCTCGCCCCTTAACTCCATTACGAAAATAGCCGAAGCCTCCTACGCCGAAGTCTACCGCATCACCAACCCTCGCGGGACGTCCATCATCAAAGTGATCCGGTTGCAATCACCCATCAAACCGCAAACCAAAGCCCAGATCAAGTCTGGGTTGGTGGACGAAGAGCCCCACGCCGAATCGGACCTGCAAGGCGAATTGAAAATCAGTGAATGGCTAGCCGACATCCCGGGGTTCGTTATTTACAAGGAGCGGTTCATTGTCGAAGGCAAAGGAACAAAGGAGTTGTTGGAGACGCATCAGGTGTTTCAGAGGAAGATGAAGAGGAAGGACCCCGGAAGGGCGCAATTTTATCCGTCTCCGAGTCGGTATCTGGAGAGCACGAGGTTTTTGGTGGTGGAGTTGGGAGACGCGGGCACGGCGTTGGAGGATTTCATGGTTGAAGTGAAAACGGGGGAGGATATGTTGTGGGATGTCTTTCTGAGTACGGCGGTGGCGATGGCGAGGGCGGAGGGGATGGTGCGGTTTGAGCATCGGGATTTGCATGAGGGGAATTTGTGTGTGAGAAGGGTCAGGGGTGCGCGGCAGAAGAAGCCGGCCGAAGGTGATGAGACGACAGGAGGAGGAGGAGGAGGAGGAGGAGTCAAGTTTGGTTGGTCAGGATTGGAGGTTACCATTCTGGACTATGGTCTTTCAAGGGCTACGGATCCAGAGACAATCGGGCCTGATGTAGAATCTTGTCTGGCATCACCTATCGGACGGAAGACTACGGCCGACAGAGAAGTCAAAGAGGAAGCAGTCGTCTTCTATGACCTGGAAAAAGACCCGGCAATGTTTACTTCGACGCACGCGCCTCAGTGCGACGTTTACCGACTCATGCGCGCCCACCTGCTTGACAACACGCCTGAAGGAAAACCGATCTCTTGGGCGGGATATTACCCGTACACTAATGTTCTCTGGCTGTCATACATCTACAGTTACCTCTGTCAACACTTTAAAGGGGATAAACGGGAGCTGAAAGCGTGGAAGGAGGAAACAGAGGAGATGTGGAAGTACCTGGACCCAGAGCAAGTGGATGATGTGAGGCAAGAAGGGAGCATTGGTTTCGGTGCGGCGGGGGATGTGGTGGTCTTTGCGGTGGAGAAGGGTTGGATTACAGAGGAACAGGTGATGGATGTTGGGGACAGGAGTACGATGTTGTTTGAGGAATCGAGGCTTGGAGTCCCGCCTATAGAGGGTATGAAGAGTGGTTGCAAAAATGCGATTGCTGAGAGTGTTGCAAATCAGCAGGCCAGTGAGAGGCTTGAGTCATGGAATGAGAGTGAGGAGGACGATCAGATTCGCCGCCATCCTAAGAGGAGGCGGACGAGGAGGAAATACGTCGACGAAGATGAGTAGCAAATGGTTCACGAACGAGCATAGCATAGCGTCTGGTAATGTAATTCTCTTTTATCGTTTATATTCGCATTGAAAAATACTCCAGATTCCCGGTCGTCTTCACTCTCTCTCCTTTCCCTCGGTCTTAAGATCATCTCACGACAAGCTTGACCATCGTCCCACAGTCTTAATTCTGCTTCTTTTAGTCCTCTTCCTCCTCATCCCTGCCGTGGTCCTCATTCTCGTCCTCGTCAAGCTCATCCGAATCTCACTTCAAGCGACACACCACATCATCAGGATCTTCAATATCAGGCCTTCCTCATTTGCCATCAGGAGCCTGCTTTTAACACCTTCTACAGCCGGTTTCCTTTTAGGGAAGAGGGTGCTTGTTACAGCTAGCATACACGGGCCCTTCCTAAAGGTGGTCCTTCTTGCGGTTCTCCGGCGTATCCCCTGGACCATAAAATTGAAGTTCCAATAAGCCCACACTTTGATGCAGGAGTCGATCACCAGGCTTTCTGCACATTAATTTTAGACATTTGTAACAGGGAGGTTGCAAAACCCTGCTGACTTTCTTTGCTCTGATAAAAGCGGCAGTGTTTTCTGTTGTTGTTGTTGCTGTCAAAAGCGTCGCCGCAGCGCCTACAGATCTAAGCGGGAAACGGCGCCTTTCGATTCACACCATGATTACTGGGTTTGCTTGAGTATTAAGAATGAGCAATCACTAATCTGGTCTCGAATACCGTCCGACCTGATGCTAAGTGCGAGCATAACGGCACGAAGACTGGTTTCGTCGGCCAAGGCAAGTGCCTCTGCGAGCTTCTCGTCCTTGGATTCGTTCTCCATGGCACCTGAAGAGGTATGAGGAGGCGTTTTCATGGAATCATATGGAAAGGGCTAAGTCCAAGGGGGGTTCTGGATAGCTGTAAGAGCAGGTAGCCATATTCCGAAGAGATGACATCTGAGGGAAGAAACGGGGGAGACAACCTAGTAGAAAATCCATTCCGCACTCAGTAGAATAAGCCCCTCCTTTGGAATTATAATATCATGCTGGTTGGTTTGATAGTTTGGTTCGCGACCATGGGTTAAATTGGGCGGTTTTGGAGCTCTTATCATCCTTTCAGAAGAGGAACTGTTCTCTGTGTAAAGCGATATGGGATAAAGGTACGGGTTTGTGACGCTACTACAGAAGCCTCTGATGGATGTCCTCCAATGCCTCCCGCCATTTCCTTCAAGGCCTTCAAAATTGGATAATAAGCCTGTATAACAGAACCCTTTATAGAGGGCTAAAATATTTTATACACCTAGTAAAGCCTTAGCTTTCTTGTACAGGACTAACAAACATACCAGTGCTGGATTGTGTGGTATCGCCTCGTTTGTTTGCCGTTGCTATCGCTTTACTCATCCTCCTTTTGCTCTTCGTCATCCTCCCCTTCGTCCTTCTCATCGGCCGAATCATCAACATCAAACCTTCCTCTTTTGCCGTCAACGGCCCGGTGGTAACCCAATTTACACCCTTCTGCCTCATCGGCTCGCTTATCGCAGCATGGATAAACGAATCCCCCGAGGAGGTCAGGATTACGACGGTTCTCTTCCGAATCCATATAGCCATGGCAATCCTCGTTCCAGTCATACCATGTGGACGAATTTTCGTCGAATTCCATATCCTCTATTCGCCGGTTAGCTACCTGCCCAAGGAGAGAGGCAGAAGTTGCACACATACCTGAGTGGTAGCGACATTCCTTCTTATTGTCGTCTTCCTCAAAAGCCTGGCCACATTGAATGCAGATATGAACGGGAGACGTCGCTTTCCGTTTGGAGCCAGAACTTCCTCCCTTGGCCGCATTGAGCTTGTTCACTTCATACAAATGCTTGCTGATGAGTTGTGCAACCTCACGCTCAGCGCAAAGGCCGCGCAGGACTGCGCGCAGAGTGGACTCATCCGCCGAGGCAATTGCCTCTATGAGCTTCTCGCCCGTCTGGATTGCCTCCATGGCTGCTTGGAGAGTTTTGGTAAAGACGATTCTGAAGTCAACAAGATAGCAGAAGGGCTGAATGTCAGAAGCCTTACAGGACTGTAGCAAGGGGATGCAGATTAGTGACGGAGTGACGGAGGGGTGAGGTACAAGGAAGAAAAAGGGAAGAAGTTCGAAAGAACCAGATGGAAATTCTTTTGATGCTCAGAGTAACCTGGCCCCACTATGATCTAAAACAAAAGCGGTAGTTAGGCGTGATTATGGTTTGACCCTGTCGGCTCGCGGTTTGCAGCGCAAATCGAGGTGGCTGATATGAAAGATGATGGTTGGCTGCCATAATTGTTGGGAGGCTCTTGGAAAGTTGTTTGGCTCATCATGCTAGTCACAGGAGGGTGAGAGGACACGTTGTAGAAAGCAAAAACGGTGCTTCCATGTTCCGTGGAACTCGCTGAGGCTTCAGAATACCCGTGGAAAAGATGGCCCCGAAGAACTTGGCCGTACGGTAAGAAGCGCCGAAGAAGGATCATACTCGTTTGTATGGCTCATTTGGTGAGACTCTGAGGTTTTGGTTGAGGATGGGATGGTCAAGGTTAGAGTTCACAAACAAAGTGAACGGGACTGTCATAGAAAGAAGCGTATGTCAGTCGGAGGTGTATGACATTTTCTGGGAAATCAGACCATATGTCCCGTTCAGTGCAGACTTTCTACACTGCTTAAGCTGTTTGTTGTCGTTGATGAGTTCCTGGTTCAGTCTACTGGTTCCTCGTCTTTAAACAGCAGTTGAAGTAAGATTCCCGAACATACTACTTTTGACGGAGGAGCCATATGAGCTTAGGCTTTATCTGATCTCTCGAAGTAGGCTCTTGGCCCTTTCCACACTACTTGGTGTCATCCTCGCAAAGACCATACGCGTTCGAGGCACAGCAAGATGTTCAATAGTGGTGGTGAGCTGCCGATTGGTGAGGCAGGATCACTTGATGACTCAACCTGATGCTCGGATTACAGACCAAAAGCAACCGCAAGAAAACAAACAACGCGAAGCCCCTCCCAAAGAAGTGTTAGTCGCACCGCTTTATCGATCCCATGTGCACTCTCTTCAACAACCTTTCTTAGGCAGACGCTCAGGTGGTGGATGGCCTCGACCAAGAACGACGTAATCCATCAGTTTCGCACTAAATTGGTAGATGGTTGGGGATTTCTGTCGACGAACGTGAGCCAGCATAATCTCAAGCGTTGGGTGACTTTGGAGGTTTCCTAATACTTCTCGTCAGTTAGCTTGACCGAATCAATGCTCGAGGCTCGAGTACCATACATACTCTAGCCCATTTTGCATCCCATGGCATATATGACACGCCTCAAGTACACCAGCCAGTCTATTTTCGATCCCCCCTTCTCAATCTTTTGCCTATCCTGTCCGATGAGTATGTCCTCCATTTTACCTCCTCCTCTGATTCAACCAACTACCCAACCACCTCCACCGTTCCGCCACGCCCTCAACCCACTCCACATCCCCAACCAACCCACTCACCCTCCCCTCCGGATCATCCCACCGGTTACCCTCAAACTCGATAAAGAAGAGATACTGAAACGGTGCAATCAGACTCGGCAAGCTATTGATGCTCGTCAGGTTCAGTCCTCTCCGCTTGAAGCACCCCAAGACATCCGCCAGCGCGCCAGGCGTATGATGCGGCACCGTGAACGAGACCATAGACTTATACAAGCCCTTGTAAGCGTCAATCTTGTCCGTATCATCATTCCTCCCGCCGCTGCTGCCAGAAACCGACGAAGAGGGACGAGGCGACAGAGAACGGGGCGATCCTGAGGTTGGAGACTCAAGCAGAGACTCTACTCGGTCCGTGGTCCACGGCAATCCCTCAGGCAGCTGCACCTCCTGCTCGACACCGTCGTCGCTGCGGCTACTGCAGGGCCGTCTGCGCAGTACAAAGAAGCGGGTCGTGTTGTCTTCGCGGTCTTCAATGCAGCGCGCAAGAACATCCAGGCCGGCCATCTCGCCAGCTACTTCACCCGCTACAGCAGCGCTCGAGCCGGTGGCGTCAGCAGCAGCGAGCTCGGCAGCTTTGCTAGTGGAGGAGACCTCGATGGTCTCGACGCCCTTGAGGTAGGTGGCGAAGAACTTGGCGGTTTGGCCGAAGGCTTGGGGGTGAGAGTAGACGCGTTTGACGTGGGAGAGGGAAGTTAGGGGCGTCCCCTTTGCGTTTTGGTCAACGTTAGGTAGTAGGGAAGACTTTCTCCGGCCTAGGAGAAAATGGTGGACGTCTAGGTAGGCTTCGCCGCAGATGGTGATGTTGGGGTAGGTAGAGGCGCGGTCGGCAAGACAGTCGAGGGTGAAGCTGACGGTGCCATGGGTTGAGTTCTCGAAGGGGATAACGCCGAAGTCCACATTGGAGGCCTGGACTTCGTCAACGACCTCTGTAGCCGGTGTTAGTGAAGTTTCTCGTGTTCAGAAAACTTGACTTCAACAGACCTCTGATCGTCGTTGTAGGGATGAGTTCCCACTTATCCTGGTTTGGAAAGGCAGATTTTGTCGCCTATACGTTGCAACAACCCCAAGTCAATAATATTAGTCTCATGTACACCACTGGGAAGGATAGATTCTCCAGCCACATCGAAGCCTTTCAGCGTTCCCTCAAGTTGGATAGTCTCACTATCCATTTTTTTCTGGCTCCTTTCAATGCACTATCTCAACCCTGGCAGGCCGCGATAGCTCCCATTCTCCAAGGTGACCCGAGTCCATCAAGCCCACGAGTAACTCAAAATCACTCAACCGTCCCTTCTAAGCCCATTTCATGCGGATCACATACCTGATGAGAATATGAAGCAAAGGGTCCTAAGAAGGCGACCTTCCTCCGGTGACTCCTCTCGCGAGTCCCTTCCGATGTCGGCGCAGTGGCCGTTCTTGAGCTCATGTTTCGCAGGCCGTTCACAACCGTACTGTCTACCCGTCCAATATGCTTTCAATAACACACGTACCCAGATCACCGCTCAAAGAGATCCTAGGTAATCGTGGACGGATGTAGGAAGTTGGAAGAGTTAAGTCCCCTGATTTGTGTATGAGTTGGGAATAAAAGGTGCCAGTGACCAATCATTCATAGAGCGCAGCGGAGCATTGTTTGGAAGACCCATGTGCATGGTACCTGACGCAGTAGATGGATTTTTGGTGAAAGAAGTAATTTTGAAGTCCCGGGGTACTGTTCATGTGTCGTTGCCCCGAGCAACAAGCTCTCTATTGCATGACCTTTCAACTCAGACTCACCGGCCATCCTGAGTTGTCTTCATGCTGGTTTCGACCGGCCACACGCGGTTGCCCCTCAAAGGTCCGACCGCCGGGCCCCGCTCCGGCCCCGATTACCGGCTTCAGATTTCCCATACCTCATCAAAGTCGCGTTTCCGGGACAGCCCCACAATGAATGGGTGATGACATTGTGATCGCCGAGGACTGCATAGTCCCTGCTTTTGAAACCTATAATCTGCGCTAACAGTACTAGGACAGCTCATTTTATATATATATATATACATTTTATTGATATTTGGGGTACGGGCACCATTCGAGAGCGCCAACTGTAAATGGTTACCCTTGAGACGGTTATCAAGAACAATCGAAACCAAGAGCCATCAAGATCTAACAAAGACAGAATGAGCGTGGAATTCGGTCCTCGGCTACCGCGTACTAAGCCCTAGTTAAACCATATCTCATATCGACCTGTTTGATTTTTTCCACCCAAAATTCCATAACCCAGTTTCTGATGAACCGAAAGCATAAAAGAGTGTTCATGAAGACAGACGCTGTCAGTCCCCGGAATAAAAGCAAATCCATTCCTCATGGTTCCGCGCTAGACATTCAATCCTTTCCATCTTCCAACTTGAGGTATTGCTTTGCGTCCAGCTAAGGGATTTTGGACAATTCATTCGTTGGTCTTGGTAAGACTTGCGAAGAATCAACTCTGCATCCCATTTATAGAACTTCCGCTTCAGTCATAGGCAATTTGATTCTGTTGCGGCTGTTAGCGAGTGGCCAGAGATCGATCAAACATGAAAATGCCATACCTTAGATTATACTAAATCAAACTCAAGAAGCCGTCATCATAGAGCGAAGCGGGCTCGGGCGGGACACCTGGTGGTTACCCGGCTGATGAGGGCTTGCGCCGGAGCGAGCTGCGGACATTTTGCCCGAGCTGGTTGGCTTGAGAAGCGGCGCTGAATCAGCTTTAGGTGTCGTCGTCGGCTCGGACGGGATAGCTTGAGTTCCGGGTCCCTCGTTGTCGGCGAGGGATTCAACTTGTCAATCGTCGTAGTACTCATCATCGTCGCTGACGTCAGCTAGCTGCTCGAAGTTGACCTTGTAACGGAGGATACCGCCGATACCACCGAAGCCCTTGACGAACTGGTTGCCCTCAGTAGAACGATCGGAGACAAATTCGAGCGTGGCACCGAAATCCTTGTAGTGCTCTGCAATCCACTCAAGGAAGGACTCCTGGGAAACAACTTCCATCTCCTGGCCTGTCTCCTTGTCCATGAAAGCGTCGCGGCTGGCCTGCTCCTGTGCCTTGGTAGTATGCAGAATAACTTCGGATCCGTTGCTGTCCTTAAGAACCCAACGGTTGACCTCAAGGTTCTCGAAGACGATGAGGGTTTCAACGGCACCGAGCTCCAAAGCCTTGAGGGTATCCTCAATACCGTAGCAGACGCGACCGGTATCCTGGCTAATCTCCTCGAAGTACTTGCCGATGAGCTTCTTCTCCTGGATGAACTTGACGTTTCCGAGGGTCTCCGAGGACAGCTCAATAGCCTGGTTGAAACCGTTTTCACCACCGTACGAGACATCGACAACCTTGACAACCTTGGTCTGGAGACGGGGATCAAACAAGTCGGAGGCGTTCAGGTCGTTCTTGAAATCGGCGGAACCAGCCAAAACGAGACCGGCAACGTTAGGCCTGTCGTTGGTGATGAAACACTGGACAGCCAATTCGGCGACCTTGCGGACATAGTTGTGACGCTTTTCCTCACGGAGACGGGCAAAACGCAGGGCGGACTGACCACCACGACCGTGCTTCTTGGGAAGATCGACGGAGAACTTGTGGACAATATCGCGGGTGTTTCCACTGAGAGTGCCGAACAAAGCACCGTTACCATCCATGATGATGAAACCGAACTTCTGGTCGGAGTCGAGAAGCTCGGCAAGAGCCTCGGTGTGGAACTTGTTGTCGCAAAGGTAGAGGGAGGTGTTGATGGGCTTGAAGGGCTCGAAATCGATGTTGACCTTTCTCTCCTTGCCTTCTGAGGTCAAGATTTCACCGCAGTACACGACAAGACCATTGGGCGGCACCTTGTTGTAGAGCTTGAGCCTTTGCTGGGTCGAGGTAATGGCCGAAAGGACGGACTGACGGTTGACACGCGACTTGATGTTCGAGGCAGTGCCCTATAGTGCTAAGTCAGGAACAACTGTCCGACACAATAAGGGTGTCGAGATTGAAGGGAAGCATGGTGACGCACATATTCTTCAGCCAACATCTTTGCGGCTCTGGAGATCTGATCCTTGGGGGCTGGAGAAGATCAAGAGTTAGCACCACTGGACATTGGGCCATAAGCAGCAGAGCAGCGAGGATTACTGCCAATAATCTCGCTATGTGATCAAGGGAGGGTAGACGGCGGTGACAATGCCATGGTAGAGACAAACGTACGGATGATGAGCGAGATCATGGAGGTGCCGTTTCCACGGGCGGCCTCAAGACGCTTGATCAGCTTCTTGACCTTCCATATCTCAATCTATGAGGGACAAGAGCATATCGTCAGCATGCGAACATCACGTCGGGAACTGTGTGGTTTTTTTTTTTTTTTTTTTGTTTTTTTTGCGCGCGCGCGCAGTCGGGAGAGGGACGATGATGAGCCACTCACGTTCTTCTCGGCCTCGTTGGCGTTGGGATCCATCTTGGCGGTTTTGGGGTGGTGAAGAAGATGAGGAAGACGAAGTGCTGCTGGCGCCCCTGAAGTTAAGTTGGTGCAGCGAGCGAGGTTTGTGATGTCGTCCTTGGTTGGATCTGCTTTCAACGGGCGGCGAGCAGGGCAGGACCACAAAGTGGGCAGGTTGGGGTTGTTCTTTTTCTTTTTGCCCACTACTTCGACTATGCCTCGCCTGGCCAATGTGCCTCGCCGCTGGATTTCCTTGTATTCAGTGGGGTTCCAGTTCTAGAACTACTCACCCGTTTTGAGAGGGCACAATGGGCTAATTGGCTGAATTGATGCTTGTCAGTAAGAAGAATCCAAAGAAGCCGGGAGAATGCCCCGCCTGATCTGGAGTAAATGCGGCAGACGTAGGTGGTACCTCGTTTGCCGGCATGTTCACTACCTACCTCTAGCGAGTGGGCCACGCCTGCCACAAGGTACAGAGGGGTTTCCGCTGCCCTGTTCTACTGTACCTGTCTGCCCGTATGAATATCCTTAGGCACCTTCTCGTTTTCTCCCGCCGTAACAGGTGGGGCGAAACGCGAGTCATCATTGGCGTGGGGGGTCCCTTGGGCCTTAGCAACCCTTCACACCTACCTGCACATCCCTTCTCCCGCCTGACCTCGTCCTTCAGTTCAACACCGCATCAACTTGGCACAGCTTCAGGTTGTGGCGTTTGGCCGTCCAGCACACCGGGTCCCACATTTCCTTCCCGTTTCAGACTGAACTTGCAGAGAACTGCGCCGTATCAGCCTACGATTGTCTCGAGGATTGTCGTCACAGCAGGAACAAAGATGGCAACCTTGAGGCGATGACAATGGAAGCGGTCTGGCCGTGTTAGTACCTAGGTAGGTACCTAGTCAACCACACAGAAATTCGATGGGATGTATCATGCCGTTCGTTCACAGCCGACTTTTTGATGTTTGGCCTCAATGTTGTTACTGCCTTGAGGTTTATACTGCCGGGTGTCCTCCATGGTTACGTCCTTGGAAGTTGCGACTGACACACATTTCTGGAGAGAGCAATATGTACCTAGGTAGTCGCTGGGTGTCGGCCCCTTGCCTGCCCGTAGCCCTACGTGCGTACACTGCCCTGGTGTGTAGTGCAATGTACAGGAGCTACTACGTACCGCTCCAGTGGACTGCGCCAACCCCGGAAGGTACCTGAAGCTATGATGTCGATTGACCTCGATGTTCGCTATCTCCCGCTCGCGCGTAGGGCCAACCTCACCTCAGAGCAGAGTAGTCCTCTACACCTCCCATAAACAACAACCTCGAGACGGGCTATGGAACTTGCAGTCTGCGCCGTAAACCATGAACTCCGACATCCCCATACAGATCGCTGAGACCATCCAAACAGCGCACATCAAGCGCGAGCCCTCCCCTTCGCACGACATCAACCCCTCTACCGCCGCGTCCAAGCGCGAGCCTGCGTCCCTCCGAACCCAGACCAGTCACAGTCAGCATCATGACTCACTAATACCTGACGGCGGGATCGACGAGGACGATGACGAGGAGGACTATGCACAGTCAGAAACAGAAACAGATGAGGCGAGCGAATACAACGTGGTCAAGTCCAGGCCCCGGCGCAACATCCATCACCTACCCCCGATCCCGGACCTGCGGTACGAGCAGAGCTACCTGCACAGTATACGCAATGCAGATACGTGGTGGAAGGTGGTGTTGATTACGGCGAGGGATCAGGCATGTTGAAGTTTTTTTTTTTTTTTTTTTTTTTGGAATACCTACACCACCATCATCGCTCTCATCTAGAGATTTCCCGGCCTTTGCCCCGCTGGCTTTATAGACATGTCGCCGTCCTCTCAAAATGAACACTGGACAACTAACAGTCCAAAAAAACAACAGGTCATGATGCCCCTAGTTCAAGGTCTCCTCTACAACATCCTAGTCTGCGGCTGGCAGTCCTGGAACCGAAACGCCCAGATTCACGGCTCCTCGATCGGAGCCCGGGTGCGGCGCTGGTGGTACGGGGTCAATAACTGGGAGATTCCCCCTGCTCCTGGTCCCTCTCCTTCTGTTAAACCATAAGCTATCATATGGCCCAAAAAGAAAACTTATTTTCTGGATCCATTCTTATACTTTTCTTCACCCTCGCTTTGTCGAAAAACAGGTCGCAAAATGTACGCATCTTCCAGACTCGCCGATCCAGCAGCTGGAACCTCAAACAGAACTTCAGCGGAGGCGGTGGCTACGGAGGAAGGGAGGGGAGGAAGGTGGTAGAGGCGTTCAGCCAGAACTTCCAGAGGGAGTTGGGCGGTGGTTACGCTTGAGTGGACAAATAGTTGTGGGAAAGGGGCTTTGGGGATGAAGGATCTTTGCCTCGCTGCATTGCACGGTTTTGTAAATGGACTCGAAACAAGCATCTTGATTCAAGCATTCATGGTAAGATGTGAACATTGGCCATATCGGACTGGCTGCATGTCCGTTGTGTAAGAGACCGTCACATGCTGTGCATGCAAGATTTCAACTTGTCTCATAACTAAGGAATTCAAGGATCGAGATGCTATCATAACCACATAATTGCCGGTCTAATTGCTTCACCCGTCTTGTGTGGCATACACTTCATTCTTACTCCGTTCCCTCTGAAGCTCCCCTTCGAGCTTTCGTTAGAAATGCCAGTTCCGTTCGCTTCAAAGTAACGAAAACTCGAGAACTATCACCCACAACTAAGCCTACTGATCCCTTCCACTTGTCTTTTTTTTCTTCCTAGTCGCGAATCATAACGTAATCTTGATTGACAGAACATAGTTTCGTGCATCGCGATACTCCTCATCCATGTTTTGTACACCCAGAACTCCCTACTTCACCCGTAACTGAATTCCAACATAACCTAACAATAGAAAGGTACAGAAAACTAAACCGTGGCTACCCATACGTAACGGAAAATGCTCTGACACTTGTCAACAGCTCATTTAGAGGCCAAAAAGCTGTTGAGGTTGAGGCTTCTCAGGGCTCCTAATCGGTAAACCCTGCTGTCCTCCGGGCGGACCCAGGCCCGGGGGCGGTGATAAGGGACGTTTGATACCACTACCGCCTTTCTCAACCAGGGGCTCGGCTGTTGCTTTCTTGAGCGGGATCGCAACGATCTCCTCCTTGGCTGCTGGCTCATCATCCGCGTCCACCATGGGGACATCGTTCTCCTTACCATCGCCGACCGACTGACCTCGAGACTGTGCGGGAATCGCCTGCTCGCTCACCACGATATTCCTGTGTGCCGTCCGGGGATGCTTGTGAGTAATCGTTGGCGAGGGGGTCGGACCATCAATTTTGGTGACTTTGGCATTCTCATCGAAGCCAACGCGGATGGGGAACTTGAACACGAGGCTGTTGTCGTGATCATCGTCATCCTTGGCATCGCCACCATCATCGAGATCGTCCTCGTCCGCCATGTCTGCATCTTCCTCATACTCCTCTTCGTCCTCTTCGTCCTCCTCTTCGTCGTCAGCGGTCGGAACATGCTCGTCTTCCTCATCGTCGCCAAAGTCCGGTTCGTCACTAGCCTCGTCCTCGTCCTCGGAATCGTATTCATCGTCCTTGCTGCGCTTCTTCTTACTGGTGGTGGCGGCGGCAGAGCTCCATCCGTTCATGCTGTGATGTACGGCGGCTGATCGTCTCGGGCGGCCTGTGGGTCCAACTGTGAGCTCTACTTGGTCTCCATTCTTCGCGTCAGCGACGCCTCCCGTCATCTCGACATCATCGTCGCCTTGGGCACTGGCAGGATTGCTGGCCGTCGTCTCGAACCGGGTGGGTGCTCTTACTTGCCGCCCGCTGGCGGTGGTGATGGGGCCGGCGGGCTCGGCGGGGGTGTGGTTCCTGGTGTTCCTGGCGGACCGCCGGGTCGCGGTCGAATCCGTATAGAAGTCGTCCTCATCGTCCGAAAAGGTGTACTTCATGCGCTTGCCGCGGGTGCGGCCCTCGTACAGCGAAAGACCGGGCTCCGGGCGCTTGAATTGCTCCTTGCGCATGATCCGGTACTCTCTTCGTCTGCGCTTCTCCTCGGTTGCTTCGAATCGCGGAATGCTATTGGCGATTCTCTTCGCCAGGGCTCGGGCCTTGGGTCCTCCGTCGTTCTTTTCCAGCTTCTCGGCAAGCAGCTTCAGCTCTTCGATGTTACCGGCAACGCTCCACCATGTTCGTGTGTGCCCTGCGGGATTGCTCTCCCTATATACTCGGAAATGCGTGTCGTCGTTACCCTCGATCAGGTAGTATCTCCGTTTGTCGCCGTCGGTTCCCCAAGGTTGGACACTGACACCGACATTCAAATCGTCTTCGTGGCGGGTTCTGTAGTTTTTATTGATCATAGTCTTGACGACCTCGGAGGACGCAAGGGACCAATGGATCAGCGTGCGTAGGAGAGCAAGCTTGAGGTCAATTGCGGATTAGCCTTTCTTTTCTTCTGCATCTCTGGGAATTTTGAGTGCGGCGTGAAATGACATACCCGTTGTACTGGGGTCATGGAGGTAAAGGTGGCACCTCCAGCAAGAGGGTTCTGACCCTCCCACTCCTTTGCCCATTGACTCTTGTGCGACTGAATAGCTTCTTCGAGGGCGCGTCCATAATGACCGGCTCTGTGTTGGGTTTGTTGATTAGCAAGTTTTGCGAGAAATGGTTTTGGCCTGCTGTAGGCGGGGCAATACGCACTTGACGTCCTGTTTGCGATTAAGCAAAAGGCCAAGCAGCGCGCAGAGAAAGTTTTCGACGCGCTCGCCTGGGATAGTCTCGACCACGTCACGCTCCAGCTCTTGGGGTCCGAAATTGGCCAGGCTTTTCGGAAACGCTTCGGTGAATCGGGAACGGAACATAACAATGAACTAAAATACCCATGTTAGCAACCGGTGGCGTCACATGCAATGGCACGCGCGACGGTTTGTGCTATGTCGTCCTTTGAACGCGACGAAACGCGCAATAACATACGGCAATATCAGGATTATCGGCTAAGACGTATTCATGAGGAGGGGAAGGCTCTCTCTTGCGTCGCGGTGGCGTTGTCTCCCTGGGTGGGTTCAAGGCCGGGTTTTTGTCGACTTTGTGGAAGAATTTCAAGATGCCCTGATGGCGTTCCACCTGGATGTCGGCTTCATCATCGGTCGGAGGCGCCGATAGCGATGAGATGGATGAAAGATCGGAAGAGTCGTCGTCAGCCATGATGTGCTGTAGTGGCCGATGGCACTTCGTTTGCTCGTTGCGCGTTGCGGTGCTGAGGTGGAAGAACGAACAAGGGTGCTTGCAAGAGAGAAAGTGGGTGCAGCAGTGAGGAGCAACTGAATGTTATAAGAGATCGGCCGCAATAAATTACGTACCGGGCCGCCAGCAACAGTCCCAGGGCTTCCAGCCCAAGCTCACAGCAAGAGAACTGCACAAGGGGCCTGCTTAATAGGCACATTCATCAACGAATCCAAGGCGAAAAGCCGTCTTTCTTCTATCTACAGCTAGCGCTGGAGCCAGGTGTGTCAGTTCAACGGGCCGCTTGTTATCATGACAAAGTTCCATCCAACCGCACAATCCATCGCCTCCCCTTGGAATCCTGCCCGTCGGTCATCCCCTCCGTAGCCCAGAGTCCAGAGCTTGAGCATCCTGTCGATGCCATAACATGAATTCCAGGTAGCGCTCTGTGTATCGGCGAAAGCCCGCATGGCTCGCTTAAGGCAAGCCCTCGTCAAATGTTCAAGTACCCAAAAAAAAGGCCCGAGGTGCATAACTCGTGATGCCATATGCTAACTGTCGCTATTCAGAACGGTTGTAGAGGTGGCGGTTGGGGAATATGTGTGTTCCGCCGGGGCGTTGGTGTTATGAAGCAGAGTGATGGGGGGGTTGTTTTCGCGCCCGATATTTTCCTCCCCTCCACCCAAAAAAAAAATAAAAAAAAAATTAGAGGGTGAGCTCCAAGGGTCGACGTGTGATCCCAACGGGGACCATGATCCTCATGCCCTCAATGTTTCCCAAATGTGTGTGGTATGCCCCAGGTGTCAAGACGCGAATGGAGACTGTGTAGAGAGATGCAGGGAGCGAATAAGCCAAGGCGCCGCTTTTGCCTGGCCTGGAGACGGCATATAGACGCGATCTAGCAGGGACCCTCTGATGTGATAGCCGTGCCTCCATCTCCATCGCCAAAACAAGTGGTGCAACAACAACTCGAGCCTTGAAGCTATTCGCATTCCGACCCTCGTTGTCCACAAACAAACAAAAAATAAGATGACGTATCGCGTATGCGGAGGCCACATTTTATGTGCCTGAACAGAGTTTCGAGACCTACCAACAAAATGCAACGTGCCCAATAATGACAATGCCTTGGGATTATGGACAAGTGCAGGCATCAGCCCAACATCGACTCGCACTTGCGACATCCTTTGTCGGTGAACGAGAAGGAGGTTGAGGTTGGCCAAAGTTCAACGACGCTGCTCCTGCCTCTCGTCCCAGGTCGGGAGGGCCTGCATCCACTGCATCGGTCGCTTGAACGATTTGAGTTCACAAACCCAAGGTCTTGCAGCGAAACGGTCCACATAGCAGAACCACGGGCCTGAAGAACTCCAAAATCGCAGCACAAAAGTTGCGATCACGATGAGTAGTCCATCCGACGGCTGGTAGTACAACGCACTCATGGATTCAGTTGATCACACCTATCAGATTGTTAGAACACCTTCGGAATGGAGATAAAAAGGTAAATGAGATAAATCTGCCGTACTTAACTAAGAGCATGCAGTTGTTTGTTTGGTCGCTCCTGCGTTGAAAGTCAACATTGCTGGCATCACTGCAGCGCGTCAATCCGACGAGAGTTGTGAAGTTGGGCGGATGACGATACTTAGGAAGTGGGCGGCGTTCCTGCTTTTGGCGTGATCCGGATGCCGCGTACCGTGTGACCAAACTACAGTGGAAGACGCTGCACTGTCCGTCGTACTTCAACTTCACCCGTCGCGCTGCGAGATGCAATGCGATTTACGAACAGCATCATCACACCCCAAACAATAGACAGAAAGAATGAGGGGATTTCACAGAAATATGTGAACTCAGACAAGTTTCGAGATGTCACAAAGACCCATGCGCCACTATTTGCAAATACTTTTAAGTTGCTTTGATGGAAGTAACAGCGATGAGACGTGAATGGCACAAGGCTCGCTGTGGAGGGGAGGGGCACCAGTCACGGTCGTTTCTAAGCGTGTGGTTGCGTCTCCACGTGACGCAATTGAACAGTTAGAAGAGCGCAAGCCACAGGTCCCTTGCTGTGCGCCACATCTACTCCCCGCGTTAGGGCAGCTTGGGGAGCCGCACAGGCCTAGTGTGTGGCTTGTTTTCGCGCAAGTCCACACAAGAATTTGGAAAAATATCGTCTTGCACTGACTTCGGGAGCTTTTTACGAAGCGCAACTCAACCTTCAACTTACCGAAACCCGGCCTTTACTTTCAGTCATTTGAGGTAGGAGGGACAAAATGGGTCGCGTCGTAAGTAAATCCCGATATCTTCATCATCCAGCTGTTCTCTCGAAACGATCGCGACGAAGTTTCCAAACTCGAAAACCGACGACGACAATGGGGGGAAACCGACAATCGCATAAAATTCGGCGCCCAGGGCGGCAAGGGGGCGATTTGGAGATTTGGAAGTGATCGAATCGAGAGGATATTTGGGATGCACCAGCACATGGCCCCAAATGGCAGAGGAAAGGCTCGGAGCACGAAACGGCAATGATGTCGATGCTGACCATGCATCTTCTACCCTCAGATTCGCAACCAACGTAAGGGCCGCGGTTCCATCTTCACCGCCAACACCCGGTTGAACAAGGCCCCGGCTAAGTTCAGATCTCTCGACTATGCCGAGCGCCACGGCTACATCCGTGGTGTTGTGAAGGAGATCATCCACGACCCCGGTCGTGGTGCTCCTCTCGCCCGCGTTGTCTTCAACTCCCCCTACAAGTTCAAGAAGCAGCGCGAGACCTTCATCGCCAACGAGGGCATGTACACCGGCCAGTTCATCTACGCCGGCAAGAACGCTGCTCTCACTGTCGGCAACGTCCTCCCCCTCGGCTCCGTCCCTGAGGGTACCGTCGTCTCCAACGTCGAGGAGAAGGTTGGTGACCGTGGTGCTATCGGCCGTACCTCCGGTAACTACGTCACTGTTGTCGGCCACAACCCCGAGGAGGGCAAGACCCGCATCAAGCTTCCCTCCGGTGCCAAGAAGGTTGTCTCCAGCAGCGCTCGTGGCATGATCGGTATCGTCGCCGGTGGTGGCCGTACCGACAAGCCCCTCCTCAGTACGTTTTCCCCGGTACATGTGATCCTCCGAAATGAGCGGAAGTGCTGATTAATTTTACAGAGGCTTCTCGTGCCAAGCACAAGTTCGCTGTCAAGCGCAACAGCTGGCCCAAGACTCGTGGTGTTGCCATGAACCCCGTCGACCATCCTCACGGTGGTGTAAGTTTTACAGGTGTCCGGAACTCTGAACGCGAGCTGACATGGTGCTACAGGGTAACCACCAACATATTGGTAAGGCTTCTACCATCTCCAGGTACGCTGCCCAGGGTCAGAAGGCGGGTCTCATTGCCGCCAGGAGAACTGGTCTCCTCCGCGGTACCCAGAAGACCAAGGAGTAAAGCGATTTCTTGTTTGTCATCTGGGCTGGGGTTTCTGGGATTGCATTGGTCTTTGCTGCTTTGTAGTTACGGTACTGCGAAGGCGGCTGGGAGACTTCCTCTTTTTGCAAGCATCTTGGGACGTACCGGAATAAAAATGATTCCCACACAAAGCAGCGAGACGGGTGCCAGATGCGAGCCGTGGTCCTTCAGATGGTGAGCGAGCATGACCCTTGAGTTCAGGGCGCGTCAATCACATCAAGGAAACTCGGAAGGGCATGATAACTATCATCCTAGGCAAATTGATGAGCGGACATGATCGTTTTTCTTCGGTCAAGAGGAAGCAACTACAGTTACTGGTCTACACGTTGTGACAAGACTATGTATGAGGGGTAATGCGAAAAGGAGAGAAGACTAGGCGGCATCTGATACTCTTGATGCTAGCAGGGAGAAACTTGATACCCAATTGCTCTACGCTGTTGTGTACGTACTGGCACCTGACGTCAAATTCTGGAGACGATGGACCGTCTACTCGGATTGTAGTAGCTCCTAAATTTATTCCCATGTGCATTGCACTACAGCAACACATGCTCAATTTTAGCGTGGTGCGTTATCGTGCAATCTCCTCCTCGCGGTATCACCGAACTGAGGTCCAAAATGCTTTTGATACATCCAATAACTCGACCACAACGTATCATCACCGGCAAGCTTGAGTCTCTCATCGGTGTCTCATTTGCTGTTGGAGCTCGCCGACATGGTCAACCCAGTGCTGCTGGGGCAACTCGGAGTTTCTACTCCACCGCCCCAGTGAATCCATTCCCTGCGGCGAATCCTTCCACCTCGAACCTAGTGCGTGGTTGCGACCCCGCCGTGGGCTGCTTCTCGCTGTCAGCTTCGAATCTTATCCCAGTCAACAACTCTTTCCACACAACAACCCCAAGTCGCTTCAGCATTCGTAGCAACTCGTTCAGCAAGATGGCCGCCACCAAGGACTACAGACTTCTCTGCCTTGAGAATCCCCTTCTCGGTGAGTCCTACTCTTTCCCGCCAGTCTCATCTTGTTTACACCTGAGTTGGCGCCTATCAAATTTCTCTGGCAGTTCGGGCGCATCCAGGTTTTCCATACTCCCAATTCGCCTCGCAACACCACGGCGCAACCCTTCGTCCTCCCTCGTTCGCAAAACCTGCATGATGCAAGTGAGCTGTAGCTAACAATCGCATCTCAGACATCCAAGCCTTTGGCGATGAGGCTCTCCTCGAGAAGTACGGCCTCAAGGCCAACGACGCCATCCTCGCCGAGGAGAAGCACCAGGGCCTCTTCGAGGACCTCCTCCAGAACTACGATGCTAAGCTGATCGCCGGTGGCGCTGCCCAGAACACCGCCCGCGGTGCTCAGTACCTCCTCCCTCCCAACAGCGTCGTCTACCTCGGCGGTGTCGGTGACGACAAGTACGCTGCTATCCTCCACGATGCTGTCAAGCAGGCCGGCCTCCGCGTCGAGTACCGTGTCGACCCCAAGATCAGCACCGGCCGTTGCGGTGTTGTCATCACTGGCCACAACCGCTCCATGTGCACTGAGCTCGGTGCCGCCAACCACTACGACCTTGAGCACTTGAAGAAGCCCGAGGTTTGGTCCCTTGTCGAGAACGCCGAGGTCTACTATGTCGGCGGCTACCACTTCACCGTCTGCCCTCCCGCCATCATGGAGCTCGCTAAGCAGGCTGCCAGCGGCAACAAGCCCTTCATCCTCTCGCTCTCCGCCCCCTTCATCTGCCAGTTCTTCAAGGAACCCCTTGATGCCTCCGCTCCCTACTGGGACTACGTGATCGGCAATGAGGGCGAGGCCGCCGCCTACGCCGAGTCCCACGGCCTCAACACCACCGATGTTAAGGAGATCGCAAAGGCTCTTGCCAACCTTCCCAAGGAGAACACCCAGCGCAAGCGCGTTGCCATCATCACCCAGGGCACCGAGCCTACCATCGTTGCCATCCAGGGTGAGGATGAGGTCAAGGAGTACCCCGTCCACTCCATCGACCCCGCCAAGATCAACGACACCAACGGTGCCGGTGACGCCTTCGCTGGCGGCTTCGCTGCCGGTGTCGTCGAGGGCAAGTCTATCGAGGAGTCCATTCACATGGGCCAATGGCTCGCTAAGCTCTCCATCCAGGAGCTCGGTCCCTCGTAAGTTTTCACAACTCTTGTCTCTGCAAGACTTTTTATCCCAGATGTACCAACTGACAACGTATGCCACAGCTACCCCTTCCCCAAGCAGGCTTACCCCGGCCACAACTAAATCTGGGAGACCAGTTTCGTTGGCTAGCAGGGCGTGAATTGAAGAAGAAGTAGAAGAGTTGTTAGTAGAGCGTTCTTGTTCAGCGCAATAGGAGAAGAGGCGTTGGTTGTAAGGTATCCAGGAAGCCTTTAACATCAGGCTTAGGTTACTTGACTGCATACACATGGTTCAAATTTTGGCATAGGATCATGACTAGTTATCCTGGTCACAAAATGGGTTTCAACAACGGCACAATATACCACGGGTTTTTACGGCATCAATGTTTTTGTGTTTACTCCCGCTAGGGTTTTTGTTTGCAACAATTGTGTGAAGAAAGCTGGTACGAAGAAGCGCGAGAAGCTGGAATGACTGTAAATAGGGGTTGGATCCTGACAGCGGACCTGATCGACTTGACATCAAGAACCTCGGCTCTCCTTCTCATGTGATACCATTTTGGCCATCCAAAGGTAGAGGCGACAGTGTTCCTCTGTGAATCACCTATAGTATTGGGCCCCCAGGTGGTATTTCAAATTCCTCCTTGGGATGGGCTTTGCGTCGGCCAAGGGGATACATACCGTTGCTCCTGTATCAAGGTCCATGGTTTTCCAGCTTGAACAAGTTCGACTTGGGTACGAGCGATTCTTTCTCTCCCTTCCTCCGGATTTCTTTTTTTATCATTATTCTTTTATTTCCTTTTCTTCCTTTTTCCTTTTTTTCCCTTTTTTTTTTTTTTTTTTTTTTTTTTTTTTTTTTTTTTTTTGAAGGGGGCATGCTGAGCGAGATCCACCGTCACAGTGTTTCGGCTTGGTCATGATTCCACTGTCGAGAGGCTCTGCTAACTCAGTTTACTCAACTCGGAACACTCTCGAGTCTCCCGCCAACTCGATAAGAGAGACAGCAAGGTCTTCCCTTCCCTCAACCACGTACCTCTACATATGGTGACGCTACCCATCTTTTCCTAGTTGTCGGGCAAACCACTAGAAGGTTGATCTCGGAAATACATCTATTTATTTGCAAGAAAGGAACATCAGCCAGAGGCAGCGTACTCATGTCCCGACCAGATAAGTGTAAGATGACTAGCATTGACACATTCAGAGACATGATGTATGGTAATATAGCTTTGACTTTCCTCATTGAAGTTCTGCTTTAAAGATCATGTGTCGAAGCGCGCGTCTGTCAATCTGGTAAAACTCAAATTCAGGTTTTGGTTGTGTTGTTCAGTATCTTTCGTTCTTCTTCCTTATCTTCATTCCTCTCTGGGTAAGCTTCAACGTCTGGAGCGCCCGATTCCTCTTTTGCTCAAATCCTCGTCTTTTTTTTTCACCTTGAGAACGGAAACCCCATTGCTCCTTGATTCTTTCGCTTCTTTGCAACTCTTCACCTTTTGCCTCCTTCCAAAAAGCCCTTTCGTACACATACTTGGGTCAATAGTAATACGCTGTTCCTGTCACTCAAAAGAGGCGAGACGAAAGCAACAAGAACCTGCATAATTGCCTCCAGTGAGTGGCAGGACCAAGGGACGGTTAAGGTCGAATAAGACGAAACGCGCAAATAGTGAAATGAATCCAAGATGCGTGCGTGATACGCCACTAGTAAAGGAAGCACGAGGCTGTGCGAAGCAGAATAACTCATTGGGTGGGTGATCACCTTGCTAACTGAGTTTTGCAGATTCCTTTTCAAGCGCGTTCCGTCTTGAATTCCACATGCCTCATCATTCTTCCCCAACTCCTAAGGGAGGGACAGCGCAGACGTGCAGACAATCATTCGTCGAGGTATTAACGGCAGTCAGAATGACTGAAGCCTCCAGCATGGTATGGCAAGAAGCTATCGCGAATGCTCTTATCCGGTTTCGCCATCTGTTGACCCCAATGTAAAATCGGGTTCTGCGAATCATCGCTTAAGTCATCGTAAACGTGTTGTCGCAAATTCTCGTCGTGTCGGCGTCTACTGCCAACAATACTATGGACTCCGGACCAGACTAAGCAGATGGGTTCCTTAACGCAGATTTGTAGGCGAGAGGCACGGCCGACCATCCAACTGTTGTTGCCATCATTGAAGAGTACCAGTATGGTAAAAAAACCAGTGTTTGTGTTTTGACGTATGATCAACGTCGGGATTCAGCGCTTAGGGAACCCGGGTGGGGGCTGGGGCCTTCCGCCAGCTTCGAAGCCCGGAGGTGCAGCAGCGAAGGCAGCCGAGGTGCGCCCGTATTCATTAGCCCAAGCGTTCATAAGAGCTTGCCTATTGTACTCCTCCACCTGAGAAGTGGCATATGTGTCTGCGTTTGACTGGTTGAAGGGATTTTGATGTGCGGTCCTGGTAGCCATGCCACTCTGTCCGAAGCTGTTGACCGCGTCAAACTGTCCTCCATTTCCATATGCGCCACTAGGGCTCGAGTTTCCGTGACCAGGTCCGAAGCCTGGGGGGATCCTACCAACCAAACCGGCGGACTTGGGAGCCGCTGAAACGCCGGGGTTGCGATTGGGAATAGCGTCCCAGTGGGACTTTGCCGGCAAGCCCCAAGGACTATTCACTGGCGGCAGGCTCGAAGTTGCACCCGAGAAGGACATAGAGGAGAAGGGGGAGTTGGGCATGTCACCCCACAGTCCAGGGGGGTTGCCGACAGCATGATTCCAACTGGAACCAGCCCCGCCGACATTGGACCGCTGTCTCGAATGCGAAGCTGATGTCTGTCCCAGCTCCGGCCATACGCCGCGGGGAGAAGCAGACAAATGCTTTGCGGAAGTGGACGGGATAAGGCTGGCCAGCTGGTTGGCCAGTTGCTGTTCAACGGTGCTAGGGCCAGTGGTAATGGAGGCTCCTGACGGAATTGCGGTGTTACTCATGCTCTTAGAATGCAGATACGGTGATCCATGTCCTCCCCAAGGACCGGGAGTACCACGGCCCACGGAAGACCTCGGGACGTCGTTGTCAGCAGCCGCAGGAGTGTAGAAATAGTTCCAAGGCAATTGCTGGTATCCTCTGGCAGTAGCTGACCCCGGAGCTGACCCCGAAGCAGAACCATGCCCCGAGCCAGAGCCTGGGCTAGGAGATCCGAAAGCATTGCGAAGCTCGTTGGCAGTGACAGAACCAATTCCGTACGAAGTTTCGTCTGGTCCATGGCTGCTGGGCTTCCGAGTATGGTCCGTGGTATCAGGGGGAGCAAGGAAATCGCTCAAGAGCTGATACATTTGGGCGTCGATGGAGTACTCGGAGTTTGAAGCGGCCTGGGGTGCCTTTGGTGGCCGCGAAGCAGAAGCCCGGCTCACAGCAGGCTGCATCTCCTTAGGATCTCTATAGAAATCACGATCTTCAGCAAACTCGTCAAGGCTGTCCAGGGCAACCTCCTCAATAGGTGCCGTGACAGGAGCGGCAACTGGGGCAGCCACAGGAGCCGTAACAGGGTTCGCAATCGGAGCATCCACGGGAACCTGCTCAAGTATGGGAGACGGGATATGCTCAGGAACCGGAAGTCCGGTCTCGCAGGCAGGTCGTTGTTCGACTTCAGGTTGCGCAACGGACTCCTGCTTTCCGCCCTCTGCATACGCGAACTTGGTGACCTCACGCGAACCCTCCATAAGTTTGCAAACCATGAGAGGGAAAGCCGAGCGTTCAGCAAGGTCGATTGCACAGAAGAGGACATCGAAGATGCGAGTGAAAGCAATGTCGTCTTCCGTAAAGCTGGCATCCTTGACGTCCTCAGCTCTGGGCTTCGGCTTGCAGGTGGTAGGATCATAAGACAGTTGACAGCCGTCATGAAGGTCGGGCCCGTTCAGGCACTTGATACCGATGGTTTCCTCGTCCTCGGGGAACTGGTATGGAACGATAGACTTGAGGTTGGTATCGCTCAGCCACAACTCGAACAGAACGGTGAGCGCGCGGCCGAGAGCCTTGCACATGTTTCCGTAAAGCGGCTCCAGGTAGGCCTGGAACTCCACGACGTCTTTGCTGTAGGAGCATAACCAGGTCATATACACGCGCAAAAGGGGCAGCGTGCGTTGGAAGGTGGCAGTATATCTGCTGGTCGTATCCGCTTTTCTCGCGGAAGCATCACCAGGGGCAGCCGGACGCCGCAGGATATCTTGAACTTCCTCGTGGAGGATGCGGGAGATCGTATGGATGACCCGAACGTTCTGCAACAGGATAAATTGGCAGGAGAGAGATTTCTCGGTTGTCCAGCCAGCTACGCAGCCATGTCAGCACCCGGCCATGTCGCAATCACTGAGATTTTGCTTACCTTCAACGTTCTTCTTTCCGACAACATAAGCCGTGATGTTGATGAGGACCATTTTGAGAAGAACTTTGGTAACATCGGCTTGGTTGCTCTTGGTCAAAGCCAAAGCCAAACGAGTGTCAACCTCGGCTTCAAGTTCCTTACGCTCGTTGAACTCCTCGCCCTTTGAGTAAAAGGCATGGAGCTTGACAAACCAAGAGATCATAGCATCATCACTACCCTTAGCCGCGGCAGCAGCTTTCCGCTTCCGAAGGGTTTTGAACTCGGTTTCAAGGTTGGCCGGGGCATTCGGGTGCGGCTTGTCACAGGCGATGGCGCGGTAAAAATGGTAAACAACCTCCAGATGGTTCTCGAGGGTGGCATAAATGTGTCCACTCTGATGATGGGCAAATCCAGACTCTGGCACGAGGTCATTGGCCATTGAGTAGTAAGCCAGGGCGGTATCGAAGCGGCGGTCCTTGGAGCGGATGAGGGTGCGATATCTGGCCAAGTCGCCCATATATACCATGGTTCTGTGGCAGGACGCCGTGACAAGCCCCTCTAGATTCGCAGCGGTAGCGTCGACCCTGTCTTCTTCCGGCACAGACATGTCCTCCAGGTCGGCCATGCGGGCAATACGCTTTAGTTGTTTCATGTTGTAGCGGGCGCACACTCGCTGGAGATAGCCCTTGTAGAAATATTGGGTCGTCTTGAGGAAGGCCAGATAGAGCTTCTCTATGCTGCGCTTGTGGACGGCTTGACCAGGTCCCTGAATTTTGCCGATGGCATTTCGGTAGGCATTGGTGACCATGCTGTGGGTGCTCCAGAGGGTCTGCTCGACATCCAGTTCGCTCGCCGCGCGAATGTCAGTCCAGATGATGCTAACACAATGGAGACGGTAGCTAGTAGCGTATTAGTCAAACGTGAAGTCTTTGTTGGTCAAGGACAGCTCCCACTTTTCCATTAGCTTCTCGATCTTTTGGAAGCGAGCCTCCTCGTTCGAACCCGGTCCGCCATGCTGGATGCTTTGAGTTTCCTTGTGGATCGCAGCTCGCAGCTTCTGGGCGGCCCTACGACACCGACTTGGTTAGCAAAGAATCTCCGGTGAACAGTCCAGCCAGCAGAGATATTCCACATCTAGCCAGCCATTATGCCCCGGTTCGAAGATTACTCACTTCCATGCCTCCTCGGCCGGTGGAATGGCACCTGTTGTCGCCATGATGCCGGGTTTGGGCGTAGTCGACGAGCAGTCGATGTCACCCGCCGCGGATGAAGTTGTTGTGCGGAGCAGAAAAGGCAAGTCGACGACAAATCGATGGGCGTCCGTCTGGAGGGGCGACTGGAGCCGTTATGTACGATGGTGGAAGGTGGGCGACCGAGCAGGAGTACCTATGTATGTATGCGTGGAGTTCGGCGTGTCGTAGGTAGTCGGAGGTATACCGGACTAAATGTTGTGCAAATTCCGGGCAATTGAGCATCAAGCTCTACACTAAGCCTGGACAAACCGAGATGGGGCGGTTGTACTGCAAGTGCTCCATCACTCGTTCAGAAGTTCTCTTCGGCGGATGTGCGCAGGGGGGCGCTGCGTCTCGCGGGCTGCAGGTCGACGACGGTCCGGCGATGTTGAGCACATTGGAAGGCGGGACAAAAAATTGTATGACTAGAACGGCGAGGCGAGACCCGTATCGCGGCAATCGGAGACGAGTACGCGGCGGGCGTAGTGGTGGTTGTTGCGAGGAATCCTATGCCGATCCGGTGACGCGCGCAAGGCGGAACCTCCAAAACGAAGATTGGGGGTCTGCAAAGAAAAAAGTTGGGTCGGACGGGATCGATAGAGATGCAAAAGATGACCAAGGGGATTCACGCGCGCAATCATGTGTGTGGTCCGTCCTCTCTGCCGCTCGCCAAAGAGTCGGGTCCGGGTCCTTTGACGTTGAACTGAGCTGGCCGATGTACAGGATTCCACTTGTCCCTGTAGGTACCTACACAGTAAAGTAGTACCCTAGTGTACGGCACCAACGGCTCCCTAGCACGCTAACAATGTCCCAGAGGGCAATTGGCCCGTGCATATCAGACATGATGAAAGTGGAAGCTTTCACTCCAGTGATTTTCATCATCTGTCGACATCGAATTCCACTCCAACGATATTTGAGCCTGCGTCAACTTACAATCAGTCATATGCGAATAGGTTACGTACATATCACTAGTGATAAAGAAGGTTAAACCGGATAATAGAACATCGAAGTTCTCAAACTTAAGGAGTAAGGTTGGTTGGAGAAACCACAGTATCGAATCGTTCCACGACAACCTTGCCGGTCTGATTCACTACAACCGACCTCAATATCAAATACGAAACAAAGGGTAAAGGGAGCAAGTGGTATACCTAGCCCATGACCAACAGGATTCGGGTACAAGTAAATGTCATCGCAAACATAGTCCATCAACACACCCAAAAGAATACCGAAAAGGCACAAACATGAAGCGGTCACGCGAACCCGAGGAGGACCCTCTGCGCTATCAACAAACAGTAACAACGACAACCTCTCTTTATCCAAACCAACAGCAATTGAGTGACACCACCGGGACAACAACGAGCCGATCTACCAGCGCCGATGCCTCCGAGTCACCACCCGCTGCAAAGATCGCTGGGCTAGATCCTACCGAAAGCCTCAGCCAACCCAGGATGCAGATGAAATGTTCGCTGCCGCCACACAAGGACACACTGGTGTTTTCGACATACTCCGAGTACGAATCCCATTACAACAGCATCCACACCAACCGGTGTCTCGAGTGCCGTAAAAACTTCCCCTCGTCTCATCTACTTGGGCTGCACATCGAGGAGAATCATGACTCCTTCACGGCTGTCAAAAGAGACAAAGGTGAACACACGGTATGTCCTGCCCTCCAACTTCGCCTCTTTCCCCTCCTGGTCCTGCGTGTCCTTGGCCTTGCCGAGTGCCGATTCAATGTTGAAAAGCTGACCACTAACGAACGTTCCAGTATTCCTGCTTCGTGGAAGGTTGCGAAAGGAAATGCATGACCCCCCAAAAGCGACGGATGCATCTCATTGATAAGCACATGTACCCAAAGAATTTCTTCTTCGCGGTGACACTGCACGGTATTGACGGGCGGCAGTCGATGTTGTTGGATGAACGGCGGCCGAAACAGAAACGGGTCCACAAGCCATCGGCAGCGGAAACACATGCCAGCTCTTCCGAGCCAAAGCTCACCTCCAAGTCAAAGCCTCCATCAGAAATGAAGGAGCAGATGGAAGTAGATCAGCCCGAGCCTACTCCAACATCGACGAACCCCGATGCTGAGACGACAGACCAACCGCATGAGGAGGCCGTTGAGGAGCCGGCTGACGTGGATATGGGGGACTTGGTAGGCAAGATGTCTGCACTGCAGTTCGTGCCCTCCAGTGTCAGATTTGGTCGTGGTCGTGGAGGAAAGACTGGATTCGCCAAAAGGTGACAACAGAGGAAGTGCAAAAACGAGATGTGGTAAGACTTGGGCAAACCAATTCCATTAGTACTGAGCAGTTGAAACATATTATTGCACATCCGTAGCGAAAACATACTGATACGAGCCTCACATTCCATGACATCATGACACAACGTGTTCGTATGTTTGTTCAATCTGCTCCCTCAACAGTAAGCGTCAAACATAGCTCTGCAAAGGAGAAAGCATCTTATCTTACCCTCTCCCCGTGAACGCCTCTTCCCTCTCCCGATGCGTGCTCGACAAAGAGATGTTGTTGGTATCATTATCGCGGCGCTGAACGGCCGTTCGTCGGCCCCCGACTTCTCATTGTTTCTCCACCACATCTCAGCCTTGAAAAAAGATGCTTGTTCCTGCCTTCCCTCTTCAATTTTATAACCTTAAATCCTTGTCTCCTCCTCTTCAGTCACCAGTAGCACACCCTCTGCACCCACAGCTCACGCACTGCACATCCTGGCCCTCCTTCAGCTCGGCCTTGGGCACGCGGCAGATGCACGTCGAGTTGAAGTTGGTCTCCTTGGTCTGTATGCAGCGCAGGCAGCAGAGCTTCTCGTAGCCGTTCTTCTTCCACTTCGCGATCAGCATCGCGTCCGCGTATCCGTTCTTGAGCAGCCACTCGTACAGCTGCTTGCTGATGGCTTCTTTTTCGTAGTAGAGCTCATAGATGTACCGGCTCCGCTGGTGCGAGATCTGGAAGATAGGCCATTTGGCCTGGTGCTTGGGTATGTTGTCCGTCGGGGCGTTCTGCGCGTCCTTCATCTTGTTGGCGAAGATGAGCAGGTCCTCCTCAATGTCGGCGAAACCCTCTGGAGGCGGCTTGCGCTTCGAGGCGGGGCGGATGGCGGGCATTTTGAGATCGTCGCTGGTCCTCGGTTTTGGGATTTAGTAAGCGGCGCTTGAAATAACGTGTTTTGAGTTGCGCTGATGTATATCCGCGGAGGAAGAGTATCGGAGTGTGTAATAATATTGCAATTGTTTGGTTGGGAGATGGAGACTTCAGATCTATTGAGCTGACCAGAGGATACTGTAGTGCTGTGATCCCCGGCGTAAGTGCAGTGAACTGGTTCAAAATTGCCTGCCAGAAACGCCTTGGAATTGTGGCGCCAGCGTTATTGGCCTCTTATGGTTGTGGCTAGTGCTATCAGCGCCCGCACTCCCGCTGTGGTGTGTAAGAGCACTGTGGCTTAGCTGGATGCTACCAACCCCGAACCGACGGGACTGCTGAAGCTACAAGCTGTCATGCGACGGAACGACGAATCGACCGACCTTGGCGAACGGAACGGCGACAACCTCCAAAGGTCCTCGAGTCGCGAATTGGCCCAAAATGCCCATCACACCTACCAAGTACGCCATCACCACCAGGCAGTGTAAGTGACCCCAGTTGTACAAGCTGAACGAGTAACTCTGACGGACATTGTAGCGGCAAACTGGAGCGACGCCAAGCGGAGGGTGTTCGCCCTTTATCGGCGATGGCTTCGTTCGGTACGTTACGACCGAACCTACATAGAACGAGCATTTCCAGGTTTCGACGAACACGTTGGATATCGACGTCTATAATGGGGAGAGTGCGAACAATCCCGACCGAGGATTCGCTAACCAGGATATCACATACAACAGACACCCGAGATGCAGTCCATGTACTCACTACCCCTCCCCATTTCGGTCATTCGCACCCGCATCAGGCAGGAATTCGAGCGCAACCGCTTCGTTAACAAGTTGCCCGTGGTGGATGTTCTGCTCACAAAGGGCCATGCCGACTATCAAGTAAGGCTCCACTTCATCGTCACTATCCACACGGACATGAATCAGGGGATCCCCAGAAACGGGCACAGCAGTGGGGTCTGTCCAAAATCTGGAGAACACCCAAAAAGAAGAGGGAAAGGGTTCCAGACAAGGGGTCAGAAGGGAATATCAGAGCGCTGGCGCATGTTATGCGTCGCGGCGATTCGGACTGTGATTGTTATGGTAACTTGACGCTGACTCTCCACGCGTCTATCAGGAAACCATGAACTTTTGGCGCCAGACGACTCACATGATGTCGTACTTCAACGAGGAGAGCTTCCGTGGAGCCAAGAGACTTCCCTCCAGCTTTATCGATGGCTTCCTGCAGGTAAGCCTATACATGCAGCTCTTTTGTCTTTGATGATGGCCACTTCATCGTGCGGGTAGCTCACAGTACTCTTCTTTCATCTAGGGTCGCAACTAAGAAGAGTAATAACGAAGGGTATCAATGTCAGCCTTTCCTCTAGAGCCTATGTATATAACGCAAGCCAGATGAACATCCATGGACTCAGCCGCTTGTTCTTTTATCTTCCCCCCTTATCTTGATGGCCACTCACAGCAAGTTTTCCTCTGTCTATTTTTTGTTCCCCCTCGTGAATTACTACCAATCCAAGCCCCAAAACGCCGTTACCCATGCTGGTGAAAATTAACGATGAAAAGAAAGGTGAGAAACAAGATGCTTAGGCAGACGCAGCGGCCTTCTTATCAGTGAAGTCCTTGCGCGCCTCAAGGAACTTATCCGATACGACGTCGCAAAGATCCTGAATGTCACGCAGACCCTTGCGGAGTGCCTCGACAGCAGTTGTTCCCTCTGCATGTTACTGTTAGTTCACCTCTCTATTCATGGGTCTCGCTAAGAAGTGGACGAGTAAGATCACGCACCATAGGTCTGGATTCTGACGTTCATTTTGGCTTCGGAGGGATGAGGAATGGCGTAGGCGCAGAATTCGACATCAGGGCTGTGAAATGGTGTTAGCACAGTCACAGCTCAGCTCATTAAAATGAGATAAGTAAGGCTCCCGGTACTCACTTCTTCATGATGACGTATCTGAGCGCGTTGCCAAGGGTATGGTTCTCATCAAGGAACTCGAAAGAAGCGGCCGTGGGCGTAGAGCCAGGAAGCTGTGCTCAGGTGTTAGTCTCGAGTCGACATGAATTCATCATGGAGGATTTCACGTACAAGTCTAACTTTAGTACCCTCTCCCTCCTCATACTCCTCATCTCCCTCCTCTCCTTCCTCGCCCGCATCGGCCATAGAGACATCATCCTGAGCCTCCGGCTGGTGAGAAGTCGGGGTCTCCTTCATGGTAACCTCCTCGCCCTCGTCGCCGAACTTGGTGATCTTGCCCATTTTGACTGTAGTGGTTGTTGGTGACGTGAGTAACCGGGAACTGAAAGATGACTTGGATCTTTGGGTAAAGTCGTTGTTATTCGATTGCGGAATTCTTCCAGGAACACACGGATGGGTTGAATTCAACAGTCGGCGGCGCGCGAGTGGTGAACAACAACCTGACTGAGCCTCTATTGCCTCTGTTATCGGAGAAATTTTTAGCGTGGAAAGAAAGAGTTTATCCGTCGCCAAGAATTTGGTACATAAATGCAAGGTTTCGCCCCCCACCAAGAAGATGGAGGCGGCTGAAAGTTAGGCGAGCAGCTACTACCTACCCCACCTGCTGCCGGGCATTGGCCTCTTCCCGCGTTCCATTGCTGAGGATACTCCACCAAGCTGAGATGAGCCTTTGGAGTTTGGACTTCGCAACTCCACGCTGGGGACTTGAGGTCACTCGGGTTCAACATTCACTTCCCGGACTCAGACTCCAAATACTTGACTTCACACTCGGTCCACTGTTCAATCGGCCAGTCTTCCCGGAATTTGAAAAAGCTCTTTTGGTGTTCACGTATAGCAATCATTTCGTGACCTATATCTTGGGATTGCGAAACTCTCAGGCAAGAACACCCTCGATCACGCTGACGATTTACCCCCAACTCTAGAACCCGAGGTTCCTGCACTCTGTACTACTCAAATCATCACCATTCCCTCTTCAAAATGACTCAGTGGTAGCTACATTGTACTGAAAGGGTTTCGGAGCCATCACAAACTTTACAGTTTCTATGGCATTTTGATACGCTCCGCAAATGCGAAATCTTGACTTGAGACAAGGACAGACTTCACATGAGGTCGTCATCCGTCTCCGGTCGTCAGAGAATGAGAACCAGATAACTCCAAGTTGACGAAGCTTTAAAATATTGTTTTGAATATTAGGGGGTAGGGAAAAGGATTTCAACAAGGATCAAGAAAGATGGAAAAGGAGAACAGGTACAGAGAGTGACGCTCGCGGTACACTGGGAGGTGGAATCGAAGGCCATTGTCCAGAAAGTGACATCATGCACACCATCCTCGATTTGGATCTCTGCTACAAGTCAGTATATCGTCTGTTATGCGGCAATCCGAGTGTTTCTACAATGTGTCGTCGGTCCGAGCAGTATCAGGCTTATGGTCTTCCCCAGGACAATGTTCCGGTTTCAGGTACTTGACCTTCTATACTGTTGATAAGGGTTCAAATGACGTAGGGGCGTTGTCTGTATGTTTCTATTTCTTGCCTAATTACTTGTCTTTGGACCAAGTCTAGGTGTGTATCAATTGTTGCCCGAGATGCGGCGGTTCCGATAGTTGGTAGGCACTGCACCTGGCCATTGAGGTGGGAGGTACTCGCTGGGACATGAAACGCCTACTCCCATTTCCTTACAGGCATTTTAACTATTCATCTTCAGTGCGTTGATACTTGGTAGTGCCAAGTGATGACTGCCTGGTGAGATGGCTAGGTATATCTTGAGAATCACTATGGAGGACTCGACAAACATGGCTTAGCTACCGTTTCAGGAATTATATTACTAGAATTCGATTGCAAATATGTAGCAACTGTGAACTTATTGGAAAGCAAACGGCAAATATACCTAGTATCACCCTTGGTCATTGCTTGGTGTTCGTCTCGTCTTTGTTGCAGATCGAATCCAATTCAGAAGCTGATCCTCATCCTACTATTTCTTTATTTCGAATCCAATGGGTGAGCAATATTGCTCTCTCTGTCTACAATATACTTGAGTTTTGTGGCTCGATAAACAGTTCGTGTGTTAAGGAGCAGGAGACAAGATGTCACAACGTTGGGAACAGTCTACTCGGACTCTAAGATGCATCAAAGCCGATGGGGTGGCGTAGTTATAGTATCATCGGATTGTTAGAACCCAAGTTTGTTTTCCACAAAAGCATCTCAACCTCTCATGTATTTTCAGTCGTTTCCAGGTTGGAAACTGCAACGAAACAATATCATGATTCGAGCTATTGATCCTGTTGATTGTATTCCAGTGCCCTCACAACTCGGCAATGTACACCAACCTCTAATCCGCAGACATCGACCGATTCCCAGTTTGGCAGCCGTTACACAGAATCCAGAAATAGGGGTGTTTCTTCAAGTCACTCATCGCCGGCAGACCTTGGGTATAATCGATATGGTCACAATCACCCATCATCTCCACCTTCCCACAGCATCCAACCAAAGTTCATCAATCAAGAAGAACAAGGGTGTTGTTTCCCTTGACTAAGTGGTAGAAATGATGGAAGCCAAACCTCATGAAAAAAAAAAAAAAAAAAAAAAAAAAAAAAAAAAAAAAAAAAAAAAAAAAAAAGGCGACTGCCAGATACGTAGTCAGTCCAGCCGGCTTATCACAACTTTCATCATACCAGCCCAGCAAATAGCCGTGATCCGTCTACCTTATGAGCACGTCATCTGTTCACCGTTCTCTCACTAGCCAGGGCCAAGATCATCATGTAGAGGTAAGGACCCGTTCGTTCCTGGGGAACAGTGAACAGGTAATTCCGCGGCTCGCCGAGCCGCAGATACGAAGAGATCACGGGCTAGGTAGGGGCTGGTTACCTCTATGGTGTACAACCCAGCCCTGGTTTGTTTGTTGGTCTGGTACAAAGGATCCAAAGCTTTGATAGATCTAGAAAAGCGTGCGGGTTTATATCGCGTAACGCTTTGAGACTGTTATTTTCCGGTCCTGAAGGCCTTGGAGGAGATGAAGAGCAATATAAGGAGATACCTACCAGAGGCTTTTGTAGTATTACAAAATCTTGCCATTGTTCTATGTCACTTGAACCGGAACATAGCATTTCTTTCGCAGAATAATAAGAACTCTGAAGCTTGCCTGGTCCACCTATGAACGAAGAACCAACCAGCCAACCAACCAACCAAAAACATAAACAACATAAAATTAAAAAAAAAATTAAAAAAAAAAAAAAAAAAAAAAAAAACCAAGCAGTGTATTGCAGTGTAGTCCTGTTTGACTTAAGACAATGCGGTGAGCCGGGAGTGGACAGACATTGTGGGTAGGGGTTCATTGGTAAACGTGTCCTATTTCTGAGCGCGTAGTCAAGTTGTCTACCACGTCGGCTGGTCTTGAGAGGCTGTTGGCAGATTTATGTTCAGTTTGTGGACCTCATTGTGAAGTAACGTTGTTTCTCCTCTCTTCATATTCTGTACCGTCTCCGTCCTTCACCTAAAAGTAACATGAGTCGTCCTTGGATGGAATAGCTACGGTTTATTCCATCTACCGCAAGAACGAAATCATTGTCTTTCTCGGGGATTTTGTCCATTCGCGGAACAGGGGCATCCAATTCAAGTTGCAGTCTTCGAACATGCTTGCATATATTCCCCAAACCCAGAAGACCCAGCACGTTAACGGCATGGTTTAGTAATCAAGTACAATGAGGCTCAAGCATGTAATGCTACCAGTTTCATCATACCCTTTTTGGAGTCCTGCACGAATCCACGTTACCGTTGCGTGCTGTCTCTGCTTCGAGTGCGGTGTTGAAAAGGGATAAGTCTTGGCTGGAATGCTCGTCGGAAATATCAGCATGCAACGCTTATTAGATGATGCCTGGTGATATCAGAGGGCATCAAATATTGAAGCCAACACGAACTGGTAATTAAACCCTGAAAGCGGGAAGTTTTCGAGCAGCCGACAGCCGAATGGGGCTTTTATATGGATGGTGGGTAATAGTGAACGAAACGTCTCCGTATCCGCGATAGAGACAAACAAAAACTGAACAAGCAATGTTCAAGTGATATGAACCTCGCTATAGCAACGTCATATGTATCTCTCATTTGAAGTATTTTTTTTCTTTTTCTTTACTACCTAACACCGACTGAATGGGTGCTGTCCCAGTGGGTTGCATCTTGTGCAGATTCCTTCTCATCATCACCACGCGAACCATCTGATCCAGGCTGGCCAATGTGTTCCAGTGAGCAGAGTTATAAATGGCAACGAGTTCCGTGAAAGGCGAGCTCGGCGCGGTCGTGAATCCCTGGATTAATTCATTTGTTATAGATTGGCTGGTGTGACCTTGGCCGAGGATAACGGTAATTGTATGAGTCTGCTGTCCAGTCGTTCAACGGTCTGCCCAGACCAAGCTAAGGGCTTTGTGACATGATGGTCGACGGCTTGCTGCACGACATTCATTATTTGATGCACAGACTGTTGCCGGCGTTAATTGTTCCGGGGCCTCGGGGCCGCCAAAAGAGGGATTCCATTGGGCCGACGTTTGTGGCCGTTTCATACCGTAGTAGTGGCAGAAAGATAGGTATCCAAAGACTGGGATACTCGTTGAGAGTTTTCGATTCTTGCGGGACGCTAGCGAGAGTAGCGTCTATACTCCTTTCGTCGTTCCATGCCCTTTTCCTCTGGCCTGAAGCAGCTGGAGGCCGTCTCAGATGGACGAACTACATGCTGTAGCAACTCATTGGGAGTAGTCTCAGACTTATCATGAGCAGCATAAGGACAAAAGAATGGGCAGAACAGGATGACTCTGACCGCTCGAACATGGACTAAGCATCAAATGTATCACCGTAGGAAAAACCCGGACCAAACAAGACGTTGGACGGGTGAGAAATGTGAAATGTGACCCCTCCGTATGGAAGTGCCCGAGATCCACCTAGGTAACCGAGCGATCCAGACGTCCGAGATGGAAATTCTTTTACTGTCGCAGATTGCGAATTTCATGGGGGAGGTGTCCACTTACAGTACGTACGTCGTGCAGTTACAGGTACGTGTCAACGCACTCGTCTCCGCATGCTTCAAGATATGTAGTGTAGTATGTACAATAATCTATGTGTATCTTCTGTTCGTGGGGGCGAGTTTACTCGAGTCTGACTTGATAAGTCATGGGGGCGATACTTGGCCGGGAAATGTTCCATGATGAGTTGAGGACGAGCAGATCGAATCCTTGATATCAGCTTTTACTTTCAGATGACAATGAGAGAGCTGCCTTCGTGTTCGTCGTGTGGGTTGGGTGATGTTTGATTCATTCGATGGCACTTTGGGCACAGGCGAGCTCGGACCGGATGTTTAGGTGACGATGTGCCCCTCCTTGGCCGTCCTCTCTCTATCGTTGACGAGTTTCAGGTGAATCGGGTTGGCTGGTCGGCCAGGCTGCGTTGTGAGAGAATGGAAGCAGGCGATGGTGGGGGAGAAATCCAGAACCCAATCAAAGACAAGGACAGCCCAAAGCTCAAGACGACCCCTGCAGCCCCCCTCCCCCTTTCCCCATCACGCTAGATTTCAACGCGAAAAGTAATGTACCGACCGGGGACTCAGTTGTCAAGTACTATCGTCAGCCATTCAACTCACGAATTTTCGACATGCTTCTGGGGAAGTTGGGGACTGTCTGTCAGATGGAAGGGCCATGAGAGCCGCGTGGATCGACGCCAGATTATGCGCAGATGATCCTCGTGGAAGATATGTACCTTTTCAGAGACTCGATGTTCAAAAGGCACAGCTCCGCGACCATCGCAACAGCCAGTGTGAGCAACAGGCTAATGGAGGCCGAGACAGCTGCGCAGCTCTGGTGCATTTTCAAGCAGGTACTTGTAAACTGATTGGACGCCTATTTGACATGCTGTAGTGTATGAGCCAGCAACCTGCCAGACCCCCCGCCATCGCCTCTGCTGTATCTTCCAGGTACGGATTGGCACTTGCAAGATCTCCGACCCATGATCCGCGACAACGTTGAACATCAAACGCTGGACCACTGGATCATAGGGGACAAAGATGTGACCCAACATGGTAGGTACCAGGGCTGGATCCATGTAGCCACAAACCTCATACACAACTTGCATCATTATCGCTGGGTCGTCCCCTTTCATAATCGGCGGGGACCCCTACCTACAGCCCAAACAAAGTGAGGGGAGGGACTAACTTTCCTGCCAACCTGGAGCTCGTTACGTCTGGTTCCCATAAGAAGAATATAATTTCCTCTTGCCCGTCCCTGGTTCTGGCTCCCATTCCTCGCGCGTAGTCGACCTTCCTACCTATCTTCTAGCACTCCACGTTTTGCCCTTCAGTTGTGTCCCATTTTTGGGTTGCTTGCGGCGTGGCGCATCCGGCATCTCCGACGACCGAGCTCCGACAGGCGACAGAAAGCACCTTGTCGCGACCGCGCATATTCGGCGTGTACCAAAGGGCAATCCACCGGACCAGTTTCCACTTTAGGGTACTTGATAGCGTTTGTTTTCTTCCTCGATAAATGGCCAAGTAGGGGTAATCATCGAAAGGCGAAAAAAAAAAGAAAGGGAAAATTTGTTGATCATCTTCTTTTTTCACAGAGCCGTACTTATCTCTCCATCTCGGAGGGGAAATTCCAGCCAATACGAGCCATCGGTTGCAAGCCTGTAGGCAGCGACTTCAGCGAATCCAGCAACTGCCCGTTCGTAAGGTTTTGAGGACGACAGCGACACTTTCCTATTACGACGGACGAGTCTGCCGAAAAGAGGAAGGTGCATCGCGAACCCACAGACATCCGCAACAAACCCAGCGAAACACTTCAGCACCCGGACGCATCAGTCACATTTCCGGCACGCATTTGACACTGGCGGCGCAACCCACTTCCACTTCCACACTACCTGCCACCATCACTGGCAACCACCACCGGCAACGCAACCACCACCACCACAACAAACTGTGCCCAAGAGACAAACCATTCAGACAGACACCTACCAGAACCCGAATTTGTTTCGAGACATCTGCAGCGAGTCAAGCGGCTGGATCGGTCTTGATTCCCAGGTCAACCCAAGAAAGCAGAAGCAATTGTTTGGGATCCGCACTGTTGTCTCAGCCAGTCTGGAAGCGCCCGGCACTCGGATTAGGTCGTTGCAGTGCGCAAGCAGCAAGACCGAAATATTGAAAGACACATACAAGCTTGGCAAGGTTCTGCTTGAGGACTCGCAAAACAGTTGACATACCTTAGCTTCCGCTCGTCACCCGGCAAGTAATATCCTGAGGAATCCATTCGGGATCTCGTTTGCCGTCTTCCGCTTTCCACTCTCACCTCCACCAAGTCCATTTCCCTGCGGTCTCGAACCCGCACCATCACCATCCTCGGGTTTATCTGCATTTTCTGCATCGCCTCACACACACTAGGGGCAGGAACAACACAGCAGAGAGGGGCCCTGGAGAAAAGGAGTGCCCAAGTGCGTCGAGACGTCAGCCAGCGTCGCGATTGATAGGCCGGCGGCACACCAGCACCAACCCACGCTCGGTACCTAACAACTAGTCCGACTATACCTTGTCCCAGGGGGGCTGCTCACCTGCGACCAACCTGGTTTGGGACGTGGGACACGCACGTTGCTGCGATCCATCCGACGTCGATTTCCAATCCCCCCATCCCCCAATAATCCCGTCCGCCGCGCTTCAAGGCACAGCTGTTCGCCTCTTTTCAATCAATTTCCTGCCGACCCAACACCCCCCCGGATTTGCAGAGCATTCCCAGGGATATTCAACCACTCATCCCAAAGCCAACCACTCGCTCCGTGTCGCTCCAATCTTTACTTTTCTTCCCCATCACGCTCTCCTGATTCCCACAACCTCCAACAGTGTCCAAGTCGACCATGAGCACCGCCATTGCCATGGCCGCGTCTCCGGCTCCTCACGACAGGCCAAACTACGGCTCCGACGTCTCTGCTAACACCGCTGCGCCCGCTTCCACATCGTCGCCCAGCGCGCAACGAACGGCCGCTGTACCACCACCGCCGCCCCCATCCTCTTCGAACCCGAATGCGCCAGCTCCCCGGTCAGGTAGTGGCAGCCCCCGAGCTGTGGGTGCGACACCCGCTGCACACAAATCCTCTCCACCCAGCGCGTAAGTAATCTCCTTTTTTTTGATTGTCCATGTCTGTCGTCTTCCTTTTCTCCTCTTTCCATCTCTCGTCTCGATCTTCGTCTTTCGCTATTGCTACCGAGCAGTCACTAATCAGTCCACCGTCTTCGATAATACAGTTCCCGCAGCGCTGGTGGCTCGGCGCCTAGGATCATTGTCAAGAAGGAACCAGGCTCGCCCGACGTCCAACAACAACCACCACCACCACCACCACCCCCCACTGCCAGGCACCGACCCAGTAGACTGGATCTATCCAAGAACACAAACACCAACAACGGCGTTCCGGGTTCTGCGCGACCACTCACTGCCCGTGACACCAGTGGACTTGGTATCAAGGAAGTCGGTATCGCTTGTTTATCGCCCGGCTTCGTTACCCACGACCCGCTCATGAAGGAGCAAGTACATCGCAGTATGAGTGTGAAGGAGCAGCAGAAGCGGATCATCGAGTCCAGGTTACAACAACAGTCGGCCGGCTTCAAGGCCCCCGAAATTCCAGATAGGGATAAGGATGGAGGACACTTCGCTGCAAAGACACCAGGCCTAGCACGGAAGCGTGGCCCTCCGCCAGGATTGAGCATCGTCGCTCCCTCCCACGAGCAGTTCGCCAACGAAAGGGTTATCCAGTCTGCGCCCCTTGGCCAGTCGTTCCCTGGCAGACAGAACCCTCACCCCTTGACCCGTCACCTCATGAACCATAGTTCGAATCTCGCCAGCACATCGCACATCCACCATGTGCCTGCCAAGCAAACAAACAATAGACTGCCGCCGATTTCAGATGTATTTGGTCAGGGCCTGTCTGGCCATCCGGATTCAAGCGGACATGCCCTTTTTGCCAGCCAGAGTCACAACCACGGACCGCTGGCATCACCTCACCATCCACCGCCGCCTCCACCGCCGCAACCTCAAGCCCCTGCATCTGCCAGGACAAGGGAGTACAAGTCCGCCGAGGAAGCACAGCAAGACCTGGCGGCCGGCCGAACAGAACTACTGCCCAAGTATGTACACTATAACAGCAGTAACAGTCAACACCAACCCCCGACACCGCCATCCCCCCCCAACGGCCCAGCGCATCATCACGCGCCACCACCGCCAACATATCTGCCTTCTACGCACGCATCGTCCTCTCAAAGAGGCCCGCCCTCCCATATCAGTAATCATATGACCGACGCCAGCCGAAGTGCCAGTAACAATACTCCCGGCAATAATTACAGCAGCAGCAACATGCATAGCAGCACACTTCCCTCGTCGTCCGCTCCTAAGAGGAGGTCGCGGGTCGAGTACGAGGAAGGTGGGACCCCCCCGCTCGGTAATGGGAGGGCGCCACAAAGGAGGTCAGGGCCGTTCGGTGAAGGAAGAGATAGCCCCGAGACACAAAGGGCGAAGAAGGAGGAGTTCATCAGGATTTGCGAAAGAGCTTGGGATCTTTTCCACTCATGATGATACTACTGCTACTAAGCGATATCATACCCGCATTATCACAATACCAATCACATATCTGCACTAATAAGCTTCAAGCTTTGGCCTCCCTTTTTTTCACACTTTTTTCTTCTTTACATTCCCCTCTTCCATTGCCTCTATCCGACAGGGTATGATTATTACCACTACTGCCCATCACCTCCAAAACCTATTTTCTTCACAATCATCTCTCTTCTTCTCATGTCTTTAAATGGGTGGGTGGCATTGGTACGGCGACTAGAGCCGGGTTGGGGGCGCGCGTGTGTGATGGATGGATGGATGGACTGGCTGCTAGGTTTTAGGTGTTGCTCTATGTTCGTTTTTATGTAAGGGACGGATGTACTGGACTGGACTGGACTGGACTGGACTGGACTGGACCGGACTGGACCGGACTGGACTGCGTATGGTGGGCTGATTAATTTATTAGGCGGATGGCAATGACGCCCAAAAGTCGAAAGTTTACTAAAATGTAGCTTCCACTCAGAGCTATTTTCATTATGTTTCGTTGATTGTGTGTGTCCGTGTCCAACATAAGGAATAAGAGGGTGCCGAGAGAGAGAGATGGGTATTATCATATACCAAGCCTGCCTGTCACCCTGTCATCAACTAGATCATTTTTTTTGTGGTTCTCGTATCGTACTTCATTGCGGTGTTGTACGTTGGACATCACATCTCCTATTCCGGTTACTTAGTAAAATAGATGTAACAGGGCTTCCAACAGTGACCCTGATGTATCAACCAGTATCACGGGCTGGATTATTGTTGTTGCCCCAAATGTCCAGAAATTTGAACCCAAACCTCCATCTGTTACTTTATTTATGCCGATGCTAAGGCTATCTCTTCATTCATGATACTGCCGCTGTTTTCTACCAACTGCTTCTTTGATTTCAAATTTACCTCTTTTCTGGCCCCCTCCTCTGCCTCTCTCGCCCATCCCATTCCTTCTGTTCTCATTTGCTCTCCGCTCTTCTGACACAAGCTCCCGTCCCTCACGCCGTCACTCGCTCTTCCCCCTTTGCGTGTCTGCCTCACAGCTCACAGCTCCGAATCCGAATTCAATTCCCCCAACACGCATTCCCATCCCAATCTGTTCGCTTCGCCTCGGCAACCACCCATTTTACCCTATTCCAGGGCGAGGAACATGGGTCCAGGTTGGTCCTGCTCCTCCACCTTGAACCTTGTCTCAACTGTCATGCTTGTTCTACACGTGTAGTGCACTCGGGGCTTGATGATAATGGTGGCGGCGGCGGCGACAAGTGAGAGAGCGATCGGAGTTGACGTCAATGTCAAGGTCGATCTCGAGGACCATATCTGGGTACGTTGAGTCCAGGAATAATAGGCTTGGAGCGATGGCGGCTTCTTTTGGTATTGACATAAAGATCTTAAGCGTCCTGTTTGTGTTGTTTTGATTTGTTGTCCGGGGGTTCGTTGCTGTCGATTCCTCGCTTCCTGGCGTGTTCTCTCTTGCGTTTTGTGAGGGGCGGGTTGTTGTTTACCAGGGAGCCAGGGACACGTTCACAAGGATCACGTCCTATTGTCTTTGGGTGCTGACATTTGTTATCGCCGGGGCTTGTGGTTCTCCTTGAAGGTGAAAATCGCCGGCTGATCCCGCGGCTATGGCCAGAGTATACAAAGTGGCTGCATTATTTTGAGCTTCGCTCGCTCAGTCAACGACCCACTGCTGCCGATACTCGTCAAGTCCTCTTTGCCTTCTTGTTTTCCAGACGAGCTCAGTTTGTTGAGTGCGCCTTGAACCCGGGCAGCGTCAAGCCGGGACAGGACTTACAACATACATCGTGCCGTCACAGTTGTGACATTGAGTTCTTGGAAGCCACGTGTACTAGGCGTTGGGCGGAAGTTCTTGAGCTTTTTTCTTCGGCACGATATTGACCACCACGTCGCCTCCGCTGCCGCCGTCCCAAGCCATCACCACGGCGTTGTGGCGCATTATGCAGTCATAAAAGTCATTTGGGTACTTCTGGTGCACTTCGAGGCATTTATTGAGCCATTCTGATATTGGGGGCTATACAAAAATGCATAGAGAAAAACAAGATCAATGTCAGTGTTGTCTGCGTACCACGAACGATCCTTGACCAGGTGTGAACTGGGAGGGTATTTCCGATGGAGGAAGCGCTTCTCCGTTAGCCGGAGATGGAAGAGCCGGTACAGCACCAACAATAGCATCGTCACCACCAGCCGCAGCTCCAGCCCCAGAGGTCGGCGGCGTAGCGACCTTGATGGTGAGGTTGTGTTGTGAACCAGCAGCTGGAGTAGTGGGCGGTGGACCCATTGAGCCAGGCAGTGCTATGCTTGAGGCTCTTTGGTTACCAGGCGTCCCAGAGCCAGACGGAGCCGGCGCCGGCGGTTTCGTCCTGCTGTCTCGCCCTTGTATGATTCTCCGTAGCCTAGCGGGATGAACCCGAAGAGTAACAATGTGTTGCTGTTGCAAAGGCTCCTCGGTCTCTTCCCGTGTCGCTTCCCTGCCAAACCTACGCGACATCCTAGTCTCGTGATGGTGCACAATGGTCTCGGGGGTTTCCGACCGTCCGATGTTTGCCATGCGCTGGGCAGCGGCCGTGGCGGCCCCACGCATTCCACGCGTTCGTGCGGTTCCTCCCTGAGGCACCGACATGGCGGGTGAGTCTGGCGCGGAGTCCATACTGTCTTCTGAATCGGAAAGGTCTCCGTCTCGGATGATGCGCCTGCCCCGTCCCGGACCACCAGTAGTCGCCACTGGTCCCGTTGTCTTCTTGAAGAGCCGGCTGTCTTCGATATCCAGAACTCCGCCAGGAATGACTGAAGACACAATGGCTGTCCGAATCGTCCTTTGCCTTTCCTTGAGATCGGGCAACTGGGGCCCACCACGCCTGTTGACGGATCGTTTTTGTCTGCGTTGCTCGCGCGAGAACATAGTCTCGGTCCGTTCTAGTTCCGCCTCGGTGTTCTCGTACAGGTAGGGGGCATAGTCCTTTTGCTGTTGGTTGGGTCGCAGCGTGTAAGGAATCGGTGTTGGGAGGAAGGCGGCCGTGAGGTCTGGGTCCTCGATGGGACGCCCGTCGAAAGGGTGTCCTACGCTGTAGAGACTGCGGGTGAAGAGCTGCGTCTGCTCGCGGATACAGTGGGCGATGGCCGTTGTGAATTCTCCCGAAAGAGACAGCTCATCGGCCATTCTCGCGGCAAACTCCTCTGGTGAGTTCATGGGATTGTTGATATCCCACTCGAATTGGTCCACCAGCGTGTGCTCTCTAATAGTGATATTCAGCTTGATCAAAATCCTCATGTCATCATTCTTGTACGCTGAGTAGGGTAATTCAGGGTCCAAGGCGTCCTCTTCTGAATGGACAAAGGGATAAAAGTCCTGAAGTTGCTCCACCATCTGCGTGACCACTTGTTCATGAACGTGCTTGTCCATAGGCGGCTTCAGCCCCATGTCCTCGACTAACTGTGAGGCAAAGACCTCGACAGGAATGAGGCGCTCATGGAGGTTAAAGGTGAACGTGTCACGCAGTTTCACCTTGTCCCAGTCAACATCTATCCTGATGGGTACCAGCTCCTCATGCTGCTCGGCTTGTTTCTTGAGATCTTTGCGACTGAACTTGAGCGGCGGTGTCGTCCGCTTGCCCGGCCGAGGCTTCTGTGAAGGGTATATAATTTTGACGGGCCCGCCTGTTTCTGTCACCCCGTTCCCGTAACCATTGTAACCCTGGCCGTAGAGCTGAGCTGGAGGTACCCTGTTCCGACTATCGCGACTGGTCATAGATTTGTACTGGTCGACCCGTGCCAACCGGTTGCTCATGTCCTGGTTCAGGGCCTTTTGCGAATCTTTCAGAGCAGCGGCGTGAATCATGTCGCGCGTGACGAAACGGTCAACCAAGACCCTATTCAAACTATCCTTGTCGCGTTGGATGACGGGCGGCGTCGCGCCATCTTGAGGGCTACCGGCCTTGGAGGCTGCCGAGGGGGCCTGCGAAGCCGAGGCGGCAGGCGTTCCGGAAGCATTGATCGAAGACGAGGCGTCGGCAGAAGAAGCGCCAGCCTCAGCGCCGGCACTGCCAGAGGCCATGGCCGAGGCAGAAGACAGCGAGGCGGCCATGGAGAGTCGCAGTCGCTATGCGTCGCCGTACCGGTCGGTCGCGTCTTCGGCTATAGAGGAAGGAATGAACGATATGGATGGTGGTTGTCAATGCTAGGTAGCTAGCTACTGGTAGCTCTGGTCGCCGTGGTAATGTTGGTGTAAATCCGAGGAACTGAGGAACTGGACAGGTCGCGTTGTCTCGAGGTAACCTCTGCCAAAATCCTGTCGTGCGCTGGAGCCAGCAGAAAGGGCAGCTGGTTGGCGATGTTCCGTCTTGTTTCTCGCGTTTCGTGGTCGCCGTGATGCGATGCAGCCTAAAGCTATGCCAATTCTCGTCTATCGTCTGTTGCTTCTCCCTGGCGTGTTTGTTGTCCTTTCTGTCAGCTTCCAATTTTTGGGAGAGGGAAGAGATGAGGCTGGGCTGCGGCATACACCACGACGGGCTACTAGAGGTATGGAGAGGTAGTGTGCTCGAGTAAGGTCAGGTCGGTACAACGGGAGGCAGTGGCAGCGAGGCAACTGAACTTTGCTACTACCGCACGGCGCATCTACCACTGACAGTTGGATGCCAAAGGTGAGAGCGACCTAGCGTTGCAGTGCTGTTCCTGACCAATGGAACAACAGCAGAAGACAGCCGTGTCCCAGACAGGGAGGGTGTGTATCAGTCGCTCTAGAAGTACTGGGTACGCAGTCACTGGCGCCAATACCTCGTCAGAATAGGTATCGAGGACCTGTCAGTTCATGGCCAGAGCGGATCTCTTTTTCTACCAAAGCAGTTGCTTCTTGGCGCGCCTGAACCCCCGTGTTACTGTCATTCATCGATGGCACTGGCAAGACTTTCGAGAAAGAGTCCCGGCAGGCTTCTTTTGCCGTGCCATTGCGCTGCCCCAAAACGGCAACAGAACTCAGGTCGACGGACGTCAACGTGGACTTGCGCCGGTACAGGAACCGTGAACGTTTGTGGACTTGGAAATCCCGGAGCGAGAAATTGGCCCAGACTGATAAAAGGCAGTTAGAGTGTGCAAGAATGCGATGTGAATGCGCTCCTCTGTGACAACGAAGAAGCCCGCCAAAGTGACCGTCGCGGTCGCAATGACAATCGCAAAGAGCATCGTCATGCATTGAATTTGGCTGGATCCCGTACATAGAGGCAGTGGAGCACACAGGCTTCAATCCAATGACAGCAGGCGTGAGCACTGGGCACTGGGCACTGGGCGAGCACAAGACCCAGATCCAGAAAGAACCCCCTCCCCCGCCTTCACAAAATCCACGAGCAAAAGCAAAATCGCAACGCATCAAGCAGGTCCACCTTGAAGCTCCCGACTTTGCTGTTTTTCCTCCTTCTTTTCCACTCTCCACCATCCACACCCCAAGGTAGGTAGCTTCAACATCCGCCCAATCTTTGACGCCGCACATTTATTCTAAGCCTTAGTTAGTAGTAAACAGTCTATCGCTGTACATTTGCCCAAAATGGCGTCCGAAACTACCAAGCAGGAGATCGGTTAGTTGCAAACGAAGCTGAGCTACAAGCATGAAGCTTTTCTCTTCCGTTTCCCTCCCTCTAGTCCTCTACTTCCCCCCTCCTCCAGCTACGCACTTTGAGAGGTTGGCGTCTAGACTCTCCTAACTTGTTCCTCGTCGTTCCTGGGAAAGCCGGCCCGAGCCTGCGACACACAGGCTCGGGCGCTTGCTTGTTGCTGGCTTGCTCTGTATATGCGCCCACCTGCTTCTCATAGGCTGACCCTGCTGCCAGACTACTCCCTCAACAACCCGGATACCCTCACCAAGTACAAGACCGCTGCTCAGATCTCTGAGAAGGTCCTTGCCGAGGTCTCCAAGCTCGTTGCTGCCGGCGAGAAGATTGTCGACATCTGCGAGAAGGGTGACAAGCTCATCGAGGAGGAGCTTGCCAAGGTCTATCGCGGCAAGAAGATCACCAAGGGCTTCTCCCACCCCACTACCGTCTCTCCCGCCGCTTTCGTCACCCCCTACACTCCCTTGACCTCGGACGAAAAGGAGGCCGCTGTTGAGATCCAGGCCGGTGAGCCCGTCAAGATTCAGCTCGGTGCTCAGATCGATGGCTTCGGTTCCATAGTTTGCGACACCGTTGTTGCCCCTGCCAAGGACCAGACCGATGATGTTATCGAGGGCCGCAATGCTGACCTGATGCTCGCCAACTACTACGCCAACGAGCTCCTCCTCCGCCTTATGGTTCCCCCTGGCCTCCTCGCTACCGGTACCGATGAGGAGAAGGCCAAGGCCGCCTCCCAGAAGCCTCCTTCGCAGGCCAAGATCACCGAACTTCTCCAGAAGGTTGTCCAGGCTTACGACTGCAACCTTGTTGAGAGCACCACCTCGTGGCTCTTCGACCGCAACGAGATTGAGGGCAAGAAGAAGATCGTTATTGCTCCTGGCGACAACACCAAGGGCGAGGGTGTTCCCGAGGTTGGCGAGGTCTGGGGTGTCGAGATGGGCGTCAGCTTGGGATCCGGCAAGGTCAAGCAGTTCGAGAACCGCACCACCCTTCACCGCCGCACCACCACCACCTATGCCCTCAAGCGTCCCAGCTCGCGCAAGCTTCTTTCTGAGGTCCAGAAGAAGTTCGGTACCTTCCCTTTCAGCTTGAGGCAGCTTGAGGACGAGCGTGATGCCAAGTCTGGTGTCATTGAGTGCGTCCGTGGAAACGTGTTCCGCGCTTACGAGGTTGTTGGCGACAAGGACAACTCCCCTGTTGCCAGACTCCTTACCACTGTTGGTATGTATCGAATGTTTGACTACTAGAATCAAGCAGTCTAGCTAACTGGTTCCATAGCCATCACCAAGAACGGCCTCACCAAGCTTGGCGCCGCCCCTGCGCTCGATCTCTCCAAGTTCAAGACCGACAAGAAGATTGAGGATGAGGAAATTCTTGCCATCCTTGCCCAGCCCCTCTCCAGGAACACTGGCAGCAAGAACAAGAACAAGAAGAAGAAGGCCGCTAAGAAGGAGGGGGAGAAGGCCGATGAGGAGTAAATGGACAGTTTGGACATGATTGGCTGTAGTAGTCTGATGTATGGATTAATGTGGAAAGTTGGGCTACCTTAGCTCGAAAGTTGCCTCTTCCCTGGCTAATTCCGGTGCATCTTTTGGGTTGTTGGTCCTTGGATGGAACATTTGGTCCGGCACGCTTTGCATCCCCGTGGCATTCACGAGGGGTAACCCGCAAGCGACAACTGGTTCCATCAGAGACAGGAGGGGACCGAAAGAAGGTGGGAGGATTCATCCCAGTGACGAACCTTCCTCATTGCAACCTTTTTTTTTTTTTTTCTTTTTTTTTTTTCTTCCTTAGCTTACCAATACTGTACAAAGCAGGATGGCGTCCGCTAAGCGATGGGTCAATACATAATCCTGGGTTAGTCCGCGAAATATCAAAGCGATTGAACAATAAGTAATAAGAAAACAAAACAAGAGACTAAACAAATCGTTAGTCTAATGGTAACATCATACAGTTTCTTGTCTTTTACGGTACCTATGTCTAGTTTTTGAAAAAGGCAGCGCCAGTATTATGTTTACGTATACGGATGCGTACATACACTCAATCGATGTTTTTTTTTCCCTCTATGGCTTAATATGGCTGATGCACTTGCCATGCAATAGGCACTCATGTGCGAAATTCGGAGCTCCGTCCCCAAAGACTGTGCAAAAGTGTTCCGCTTGGCCATTTCGTCTAAAGTTGCTTCCAGTCAAATTCAATTGGGGGGTGCTGCTTTTCGATGGACAGTTGTGTTCTGTTGGCCAAACCAGTATTGATCAGGTGCGTTCTATATCCGACTCGGTCAGAAAACAGCACTTCGACTTGCAGGACCACTGCACTCGTCAACATTCCATTTCTTATCCCACTCTCGCTCACACCCACAACAATACCAACACTGAAAAGAGGAAAACAGAACCTGCTACATTTACTCAAGTTAGCGCGCTCCTAGCACCCGTTTTCCTCTCATGTTTTCTTTCCCGAGCCCAGCAGCGTATGACATGAACAACAATAGCTTCAACTACCCTACTAACTCCACAGCAGTAGCCCGCCGGAAAGCAAACTAGAGCCAGGAACCTCAGCATCGTGCAACCCGTGGTTTGCATGTTGCTCAAGCGGCCAACTGAGGACGTCTAGATATCCAGCCTGACCATCAATCACCCAGCACTCGCTGTCACGAAACGAGACCAGGACCACCTACGTGCCGGTTGGGGACCATATGACAAAGGGTTGAATCGTCCAGATGCGTGCGCAAAGTTCGTGACGTAAACTTGTCAGGGGACGTCAACAGCAAGTCTCCTAGAGGCATCTCTGAATCTGGGTTACGGTGCCTATGAATCACAGATCACCATCACCTCACCTCACCTCACGTCCCACGTGAACGACAAGGTATATCGAGCTGGGGGCCCAAGGTAAAGAGCTTCAGCTATTGGGAATACACTCTGGATTGAGCCCCGGCCTCTACCTATCTTGAAATTCCTTGTTGCGCATCATCTACTCGGGTCCGGGTGTTGTAGGGCACATGCAGTGAACCAAAGTCCTGCTCGGGAAGGAATCAATTAACCAGTCAGCTGAAAATCAGTTTTAGCGGCTGTTTACGACAACAACAGCGTTGAAGATCCCCTGAAGCTATCAATCTTCTGGCCACTACAAGCCGCTGAGGGGTTCGCTGCAAGCACCACCGCAGCACCTTCGATTGCTCCTCGCGTCCCTCTACTGCTCATCCCAAGCATCCCTCCTTTTCCTACCTAGGTCGACTTATTTACGACCGTGAGTCCGGCCCCCTTCCTGCCGTCACCCCCCAAACAACACCAGCTGTCGTCCTCTTTCCACCTTCACCCGCCTTGTTCTTCCCCTTAAATTCCTACCATTTTGCACGCGTGCCATCGCTTCGGACGCGGTCATTTCGCCATATTTCTTATTTTGGGCACAGAGCAGGTAATACTTTCACAGCCTCCTATCGGTTCCTTATCGCGGCGATACTAAGTAGCTGGTATAGGCGCGAGTGCACACACCGAAAGGGACTCCTGGGGTGGTGGTTCCATCGAAGCCGCCTAAACACCTCTCAGCACTTGGGATTTTGCAAAGGGGGCGAACCCGCGGTCCGTTCGATAATCTCGTAGCCCGCATTCCGATTTGCCTACCCCCTCCAGCTTGCGGCCCGCGCATCCCTTCACCAAACACAGCCATCCGTCGAGGACAAGGAAAGACCTGTCTTTCTGGCCATACCACATGGTTTCACCAAGTACGAGAAGCACGCGCTCGAGATACTCCAGTCCACGCCAAATACCATTCGGCTCTGTTGATTCGATTAAGGGGCAACGCAGTGCTAGCGTGAGTGGGAGTGGGAGCGGTGGGAGCGGCAACGCCAGCGGCAGCGGCAGCGGCGGAAAGAGCAAAGGGAACGGAGGCGGAGGCGGCAACAGTAAGAGCTCGGGAACAGAAGGCCAAAAGACGTTCATGGATCGCTGGCTGGAACCACCCGTGCAGAACAAGCCCAGCTTTGCCGACGCCGGCTTGGTGCGCCACGGTGTTGTCGAGGGAATGGCGCCCCTGGGGACGATGCCCAAGGCGGGCTTCTTCAAGAAGGCTACACCTGCACCACCACCACCGCCTGAGTCGAAGCCTTTCAAGACGACGAGAATCGTGATCAAGCGGCCTGTAGCGCCCCCAGCACCTGCGCCGGCTCCCGCAGCTACTACTCCGGCACCTGAGGAGGACGAGACTGAAGATGAAGAGGAAAGTGGGAACGGCAGCATCATGACGGGCGCCGATGAGACGGGATCGGAGAGGATGACTCCTGCCCCTATTTTTTCGGCTTCGACGCGCCGCCCTCTGCCAGTTTCTCAAACCCTAGCCACCTCACACGGGCTCATGGTGGATCCTCGGACGCAGCTCATGGACGCAGTGATAGAAAAGGCGGTGGAAGAGGCCGTTGCGCATCACCGGTATCCTACGGCGTACGCCCTCAAGACGCTCTACGAGGAGGATCGACACAACTCCAGGTTCCGGGTTATTGCGGAGAAGGTTTTCACGCAGACTGCAGATGCCGGGATGCTCGAAGAATTTGCCCGGATGCTCCACCAAAAGAAAAAGGAAGCGAAGAGGAAAAACATGGGCTTGAATTATTTTGAGGGTATGACGGCCATGGGTCAGGCGCCGCCCAAGCCCCAGCGGGCCTCGTACGGCCATCTAGTCACATTAGACATTTCCGCCGTGCGACACTATCGTGATGCGGTTGAGCAGCAAAGAGCTGGATCCGGTGATGTGAAGCAAGAGGAAGCCAGTCATGGAGATGCTCCGGAGCGGGTCCGTCAACCGCCTTTTGTTGTCCAGCAACAATCGTTGCACCAGCACAATCAGCAGGATCTCCAATACCGCCAGCGGCTCCAGCTCCAGCAGGAACAACGGCAGCCTCAGCACTGCCAGCCAACATACCCTGAACCCGGTCCGTACCCCAAACCCAACCCTGAACAAGGACCTGAGCCAAAACAGCCTGAACAGCCTGAACAGCCAGTGGCAGGACCCAACCCCGAATTGGCACCCACATCTGAGCCTGCTCTTGAACATCTTCCGCTCGACCCTCAACTTCTTAATCCTCCACACCAACAACCACCACCATCCCCGCAACCACCATCACCACCACAACAAAAACAGAAACAACAAGCACCTCCGCCGGAGTTGGTCTCTAACCCTGCGCCCAGGATTTCATTCACTGGAGGCAAAGCTGACAAGGAAGAGCAAGAGTACAAAGATCAGCAATCTCATTCTGACCCACCTCTTAACCTTTCCTCATCTCACTTTGAACGGGACCCGGAGGAAGAAGGGGAAAAGGAGCAAGAGCACTTGCTGGCTTTGAAGACGTCTGCTACGACACCTGTGCTTGCACTCGCGCCTGCGCTTGCGCCTGCATCACGGGAACCGGAACAAGAGCAGCGTCCGCCAGACCATGAGCAGGAAGCTGAGGGTAAAATCCGAGAAATTTATGTCCGCAAGAAGCACAGATCACCAAGAAAGCCTGAATCAGCAAGGGCAAAGATGGTCGCCAACGGGGGTAATGGAAAGGCCAAGTCAGTTTCGCCGAAGAAGAGGGGGCGGGCGAGCTCCATCTCAAGCTCGTCGTCGTTGTCGAGCGCACGATCGCTCTCACCACCAGCAAACGTGTATGATGAAGATGGGCTAGGGAGCAGCTTTGCCATTTCGATCTCGCCTTCTCGTGTCAGCCCAGCGCCCATCATCTCTCCCGCCGCGGCGGTCGATTCTGCTGCGAGTGGAGCTGGTAATGGCGTCGAGGGCGGCAATCGTGATGCCGTTGCGTCACACCCAATCACGGTTCGTCGCCGCATCAACGTGAGGAGGAACAGGAACGTTTCACCTGCCCTCCCATCACCGGCCTCACCCACGGGTAGGCAGAGCGGTTCCTTGGATCCCGCTATTGGATATCCATATGAAATGCCTGCCGTCGTCGACGCGCCTTTGTTCCCAAATCTGAACTCAAAGAAGGGGTCGAAGTCGGGTGTCCAGGGCGTTGTGTTCCCTAGCAAAGTTGGGCGGATTGATGAGAATGACCCGAAGTATCGCCTGCGACAGAGCGCCAAGAAGATCACGGCCAACTATAACAAACCGTTCCCCGAGAGCTTCACCAGAGAGTCGTATCCCAAGGAGGAGCCTTCTGTGGAGGTGGAAGAGGTGCTGGTATGTGCGCCTTTAACGCGACCTATGAGCTCAGCAGCACCAGAGACGACAACGCGGGCTACCTCTGTCTCAGCCGAAGGCCGGAGCACGCGCGCATCAAGGAAGAGGTCGCATGTTGAACTGGAAGAGCAGCAGTCATCACCTACGGCGGCTACTTTTCCTGCATCGGACGTTGCTTCTACGGCTGCGAACTCGAGAGCAGGGACGCCTGCGCTGCGGCCCGCAAAGAAACCCAGGACGGGTCTGAGGGTGAAGAATTCGTGAGTAATCCATCGCTCCTTTATCTACATGTCCCCACAGTTTTCTCGCGGCAGTTTGTCTCTTGTGCATCTTGTGATCCGTCACGGCAAGGTCAATGTTAAGGCGGCTGCGTGCAAGCCATTAATCGACTGGACAGGATGGTTTGTCATGATCAAATCTTCTTGCTGGCGTCAAGTGTCACACCAGAGTCTGTCTGCCTTGGCTTTGGTACCCTCACCTTCGCGACTACACGATGAAGAGGGATCGAGAAACGACTAGCGTTTTGCATCATCAAGTGGTCATAGTTAAACGCTACATCTGTCGTTATACCTGTTGTTCACGTCGCTAACAGTTTCAAATGCAGGCCGATGAAGAAGAAGACGTCCGCGGCCGGCATCCCGCGGGCGAGCGGAGAGCGAAGTAGTCCGACCGTCACCACTGGCAACTATGCCAAGGAGGTAAGAAGATACTTCTCATCAATCAAACTCCTCTCTATTCTGTTTCTGCTCTTTTTTTTCGTATGATGTGTGTTCTTTCATGTCCGTTTGTGCGTGGCTGGGCTTGCCTCTTGGGAAGCGATGCCAGAACGCGAATGGTGCTGGGCTTGCTGGGGGAGGGGGGGAGAGCGTTTGGCTAGCTCGGAACACAGATTGGACTGGATTTGCGGCCTTTCGCTCCTTTCCGGAGACCCTTTTTTTCACTGTCTGATCACCCCTCCCCATCACTCGGCTACCTACCCTACACAGCATCTGCTGCCCTGCCCTGCCTGCCCATCCTCCATAACATACGTACACCCAATTCCTTCCCTCCCGTCATCCCCCCAATCCCCCAATCCCCCCCATTCCGCCCCAAAAAAACAGCCCCATGCCCCTTGCTCATCACATCACCCCGTCCTAATCCATCCTGCTCGTCCTCTCGTCCTCCCAATCTCATGCCCATGTCTACGCCCATTCCCATCATCGCCATCCCTCGTGCCCATGCCACGCCTCCATCCGCACAACACAACGCGTGCAGGCCGCAGTAGTTGGCAAGGCAGGGACGGGCACCGGGGGGGTCTGTGATATTTTTAGTGGCGAACAACAACACGCTACCAACATCTACATTCTACAAACTACTTGTCTTTTCTTGTTCCGACTGCTGCCATTCGGTCACTTCATAAAAAGTCCCCGGTCGTGAAATATGCCGCACAAATCATCGCTCTCGTCCACTTTTCCCAAGTCAAGGCTGTCGTCGCTAACCGCTTATTATGAGGTACTTCAGGACGACAATGATGATTATTGCTCATCCTGTGGTGGTAACGGCCAGCTCATCTGCTGCGATGGTTGCACCCGGTCTTTTCACTTCAGTTGCGTGGATCCGCCGCTGGTGCAAGGTGCTATGCCCGACGAGTGGTTCTGCAATGTCTGTCGCACCGCTCACAATCCTCCGGTCTTCCCCGTGTATAGCGGCCCTTTTGCGTCTTTGATGGAGAAGCTGGAAGCCAAGAACTCGAGCGCATTCGCCCTTCCGCTTGATGTGCGCGAGTATTTCGAGGCTGTTCGCACCGGTCAAGATGGCGAGTATGAAGAGATTGTGCCTCTAGTCAAACCGCCGGCTAAGTATGTTCCATTTCCTCGTGTGATGTCCTAGTTGCGCCTCAAATACTGACAAACGGCCGCAGGAGGAAAAAGAGCGACGAGGAGTCCGGACCCGATTTTTTCAGGTTACGTGATGATAAGGGAGATCCGGCAATATGCCATCTGTGTCAAGGAGGAGCCACCGCTCGTACCAGGGCCATAATCCCCTGTAGTCTATGCGGTCTCTTCTGGCACTTGGATTGTCTTGACCCGCCTCTGGCCAACCCGCCTGTTCTCCGAACATGGAAGTGTCCTTGCCACGTTGATGATTTGCTCGCCAAGGTGCCAGGCCAGCTGGCGCCGGCTCACAAGTTCCGCAAGATCAAGGGTGCATCGGTAATCAGGCCGGCTTATGGTCGCGCTTATATTAACAACGGCTACATCGAGGTGGAACCCGAGGCTAGCGACGACGAGAGCGGCTGGAAGAATGTCGAGACCTATGGCAAGGTTGTGAGATTGCCTGCCAAGGGCATCAAGCTCGATTTCTTGTCACGGTATGTGTTCATGTACATTGTACGAAATTTATCAGCAACGGCAGGGCTAACTTGTTGTGCAGCGTCCGTGAAAATCGCAAGGGCAAACCTATTCCCCCCCTCAACCTTTCTCAGACCACCGGCGCTGCGGCCTCAGTTGGGTCATCTCTCCTCAACAAGCGGAGCTTAGAAGAGCAGCAAGCAGTTTACAATCTTGCTGCGCTGAGTGGACAAGGCACAAGCGGTGTTAATACCTTAGTTGATACCTTGTTGGTATGTGCTTCCTCATCCGTCGCCTCAGCGATTACCATGACTAACATTTCGACACAGGCCCAAGCTGATCCTTCGGTCATCTCGCTGATGGCGAGCGGCAACTCTGATCACCTTGCCAATGGTAACCTGAACCATATGGACCAACAGAGTCTTCGTGCTATGCTCGCCCAGATGGAGAAGATGACAAGCCAAATCAGGAGCATGCTGGAGCCTGTCACTCCCATGGCTACCTCTCAGGATCAATTGGTATCATCTAAAGTCCCGAGCTTGACGAACTCGTCGCAGTCCATCACAGATGGGGAGTCGGAAAAGACGGTCCGCGATGTTGAGGGCACGCCAACGGTGAAGAAGGAACTGCCTTCTTCGCCGGCTGCGACCGACGATGTCGCTAACGCCAAGCAAACCAAGGAGCCAGCGCCTCCCAGGAGAAAAAAGCGGAAGAGTAACGGAAGGAAGAGCGCAGACAGTGATGCGGCGGTACTCCACAACGGTGATATAGATGTGGACGCATGAGCATGATGATCTATGGGGAAGGTGGGAAGGAAACCTAGCCAGATGTTGGGAACGACTAATATCCTTTGTTGGGTCTTGTGGTTTTCGTACCATTTCCATGTTTTAGGGTTTGCATAGGTATATGGTGCACATGCTTAGCTATACTCTCTATGGGTTAAGAGGGGACTGCGAAAACGAATTTACACAGAGCAGAGCAGAGACAGCGAGGCTCGCTTGCCTATCCTATAAACAAGTCTATTTGATGATGAATTTGATTGACTCCCATGAACGTCGAAGTCTTGCGTGAGAGCCGGCCAAATCCAGAGTCCAAGTCCATCTGGATCCCCCACCCTAGCGCGAGTGCTTGCTTGTCCTCCTTTGTATCACCCGCTCACGCCACTGCCGCCGCGCCCTGCCTTGTCTGCGCACACACTCATTCTGACGATTACCCGAGCAGGCACCCAACCCAACAGCCAACGACAAGCCAACGACAAGCCAACCAACCAACCATCCAACCAACCGTCCTTCCCTCAAGGTATCAACCCACGAGCCGCAGGTAATCTTCTGTCCAATGTATACATACTACACAGCATCATAGCTGCCTGGTTGGTCACACGAGTGTTCTAGTATTTTTCGGTCAGACACGCAGGAAGAGACAGACAGGGAAGGCAGGTAGGTGCAGATTCGGAAGAGGTCGGTTTGCGGCGGCGAGAGGAAGGCATTGAAGAAAAATCAACAAATGAAACAACGGCTGTCTCGTCGTTTCAAAAAGATCCAGGGCCCGGTTCACTCGGCAGTCTCGCCAGATCAACTATCTTGTTTCATCACATCGTCGATAAAGTGATGGAACATGGCAAAAAAAATCGAAACGGGAAAGGGTTACATTGAACAAAACATATCATCGATCCTTGACGTATGTACTCGTGCTCGTGTCGTCGAGGTTCAGGTGAATTGAGGTGAAGCTTAACCTCGCTCAGTTATATAATTATCTAGCCACAAGAGAAATAACTGAACGATGGATATGGAAAAAAAATTTTTTCCATGTACAAAGGAGAAATAGGGTCGAGTTAAACTTTGCAGATTTGGTTGGTGGCTTCGACGGACAGACGGCCGGACGGATTCGACCCAGCTTGTGGGAAGTGTGTATACATTGCCAATAGGCAAGGCGGCGAGCTTCAATGCTCTCTGTGTCTTTTGACAAGAGTAAGCTGTACGATACTATTACACCTCACTCTTCTTAGGATCATGATGCTCTTGCTCGGTGACGGTGGAGAGACGTGTGGTCTTATATAGCTGTCTTTTCTTTGAACCTACATAGGGAGCTTTTCGCTTCCGTTACATACACCGATGGAAGCAGACAAAAGAAGATGAATAGAAGATCTCGAGATGTTGACCATGACACCGAAAATCCACATCCTCATACATATACTGATCCCTAGGAAACTTGTCTCCTTTTTTCAGTTCGTAAGAAATCCTCTCTCGCCTAAAGTCGATATAAACTTGATCCAGTGAAAAAGCGATGCCACCACAATTTGACTGACGCGGCTCCTGCTCCAATTCCGGCATTCAATATCGCATCGCACGCACGCACGCAAACATGCTCGCAACCATCCATTTCGAGCGAAGAAAATACGCTACTACCAAGTGGAAAGCATCCTGCCTATCGATACTGAATTCTCAACTCACATAATAGCGACATTGACTACAGTCCGCCATTGTCTGTGTCCACCGCGATTAAATTCTTCCTCCTCGAACTTTTCTTCTCTTTTCTCAAACCTCATTACTCCTCATCCCTCATTCGTCATTCATAGCACCCTCATCCTCCTCTTCTTCCTCGGCTGGCTGCTTTCCCCTCGTGCTCCTACTGCTTCTCGTAGCTCGAACCGGGGCGGCAGCAGCCTTCGCCTTCCCCTTTGTCGTCGCAGCAGCAGCCGCCTTTATCCTTGCTGGAGCTGCGGCAGAAGCCTTTGCCTTGCGACCGTTCGCAGCCGCGCGACCTGGTGGTGCCTTTTCTCCTTCCTCTTCCTCTTCAACCTCCTCCGCCTCCGCTGGCTCTTCAGCTTCAGCTTCAGGCTCATCAACCATCTCGACATCGCTTAGCTCGCTGAGATCACTATCGTCCCCATTTTTGGCTGGCACTGTTGCGGTGTTACCGCGCCCGCTCTTTCTCGTAGCGTTTCTAACTGGCAGAGAAGCGGCTTTCTTGCCCTTGGCGGCGACGCTGGCCTTTTTGGTAGCAGCGGCGGGGGGTTCGTCTTGTTCGGGCCCTTCCTCCTGCTCCTTTTCGGGTTCGTCACGTTCTTCGTCTTCTTGACTTTCCTTCTCCTCATTTTGGCTACTCCTTACTGGTGCGCTCGCCTTGGCAGCAGTCCGCTTAGGCGGCGTCACCTCCTTGCTTCCCTCCTCATCAATGCCTTCCTCTCTGTCCTCGTCCTCGTCCTCGTCCTCGTCCTCATCGAGGTACTCCCACTCGGCCACGCCCTCCAACATCTCCTCATCGTCATCCTCCGAGTCGCGCTCAGTGTAGGGACGACTGTTCTTGTTGGCACGACGGGAACTCTGCCGGCGCTCGGACTCGGGAACAGCCGGACCGGGAGACCAGTCGTCGCGGTCGGACCTCTTCTTGGCCGGGGTCTTTTTGGACTTGGCTGTGGCGATCTTGCGCGAGGACTTGGCTTCGCGGTCGCCGTCGCGGTCACCGGAGGATTGCTTGACTTTCTTGGACTTGTGCCCGTCGCGGGAATTGGTACCGACTGCAGCGGACATGGACTTGCGTTTCTATAAGGAAAAGGAGGATTGTTAGTTGTTGCATCAGAACGGTGTAGAGTCATCTTAGGTGTACGTACCTTTTTGCGATCCATAGCCCTCAGAAGATCGTCAAGCTTCTCGTCCAAGCCCTCGGGGAGGAAGGACTTCTCTGCAATTGTCTGCGCTTCGCTATGGGACTGGAGGGCCGTGTACAGACCGACGGGTAGGCCGACCTTTCCGGGGAACGCATTGAAGGCCCAAACCTTCTTCTCCTGCCACTTCCTGATAACAGATTGCGCCAAGTCACTCAGGACCCTGTGCGCATCGCTGTTCGGGTTAAGACCATCTTGCGTCTGCTTCACACGCTCCGCGTACTTGTAGATCAAGCCCAGATTGGACTCGGTGCCCACCAGTACGATGTAGTTGAGGATGTACCGAGCGTGGTCGATAAGGTAGTCTAATTCGTTGCTGTAGTCGGGGTGGTGGGCCAGAAGCGAGATGAGGCGGGCCATGATCGCCTCGAGAACAGGCTGCTTGAGGTTCTGAAAGTGGCGCGCTCGAGAACGGATCCATGTTTCCACCCTGTTCTTGAACTCAATGTTGGGTTCGAAGGCAGTGAGGAAGATGATGGTATAGTAGCGCGACCGCAGTTTGCCATCGGCAAGATATTTTTGGAGTTTTCGCACAAAACCATGACGCACCTCCTCGACCATATCTTGAGTGGTCAAGGCCAACAGGTTGAAGTCTGATGGCGTAAGCATGTCGTCGAAATGCTTCTGTGTACAGAGCTTGAGCATCAACTGCGCAGCCAAGAGCCTTAGCCTTGTCTTGTGATGCTTGGGCGTCTCCTTGTTCTCGACAATTTCGCCCTTCTCCTTGATGATCTTCCTGAGCACCTTCCAAACATTACTGGCCTTCTCTTTTGCGTCTTCGATATCCTCGATACTCCTCACCCTGTTGACTAGTGTTTTGAGGGAGAGGCACTTGGCCTGGATTTCCTCATCCATCTCGGCGTCATTGACCCAATCGGGATCGCTGTCTTTGGCGTCGGTCCGCACCTGGAGGAGGATCTGCTTGAAGGCCATATTGAGAATCTCATCATTCGCCTCCTCGGTAACCTTGGGTGCAAGCAGTTCCAACTGGCTCACGGCGGTAAGCTTGTTAAGGAAGTTACTCGACCCGTATGACCAATCCTTCAAAATCCTTTGGAGAAGATCAGTGGCGGTAACCATGCTCTTGTCATCCTTCTTACAAAGAACAATGTTCACGGCATGCTTCGAGGCCTTGACGGGTTGGCCATACAGAGCATAGTTGATCATGGTCTGGACGAATTTCCGATCCATGGCGACATCCTTAGGGAACTTCCGGGCATACGTAGAGCAAGCCTTGAGCGTTTCCGCTACTATGGGATCGTTCGGCTTTGTGGCAGTAGGAGCCTGATCAACAAGATCCTTGCAAAGCTGCCCGATGTGAGTTTTGAAGAGGTCTGGGTTGCGTTGAGAGATCTCGTTCAAGATCTCGTGCGCAACCGATCCCAATCCGTCCTTATCTGATTTGGAGTACTCCATGATCGTAGATAAGTGACTGCGGTTGAAGAGAAGACAGCCAGAACGGTAGAGTAGAGGAAGCAGAGTGTCAATAACTGAGGGGTCTTTGCTGGCCATACAGCGCTTGATAAGCTCTTTCAAGGCCTTATACACTGTCTTAAAGTCATTCTCCTGGCCAATGACATATTTGATGAGGTTGTAATTGCGGCGGTCGTGAATTTTAGCAAATTTGAGTAGGTCGGTCTTGCTCTTGACGTGTTCTGGGAGAAACTGTGCAATGTAATCGGCCGTTTTGTTCAAGTTGCTGGTGATTTTGTCGGCATTGCTTTCCATAACACCACCGTTGTACCTCTCGCACTGGTCAAGGTAGGTTTCCATAATCTTGGCGAACTGAGGCCGTCTAGATTGCATGGCGAAAAATGCCTTCTTCGCCGGTTCGTCCAGAGAGCGAACAAGGAGGAGAATCCTCTCTGCTCTAATCGCATCATGGTCAATGGATGTCGCATTAGCCGATTGCGACTGGGAGTTGCCGTTGGCGTTGGAATTCTTAGTCGCCTTTTTGGCTGGCGGATACCCAAGAGGTACTAGGAACTCGTAGATGACGCGATCCATCAGGACATTGAGTTCCAGATCATTGGCGTAAAAGGCGTTGTAGATGCGCGACGGGATGCCAGACAATGCTGCTGTTACCGCTTCATTTCCAGCAAGCATCTCACCAGTCCCGACAGCCCAGAGTTTAGCCAACAGTGACATGGCAGCAACTCTGACAGCGGGTTTCCTGTCGCGACAGCGATCGGCTAACGTATTGAGAACCGATCCATCCTTGCCTACTCCTCCATTAGGTCCTAGCTTGGCAATAATGTCCTGAAATTTGAAGGTCTCGACAGCCTTGACAGCTGCAAGTCTGACTTTCTCATCGCTGTCCGAGAGCTTCTCTCCCAACCCTCGGATCAAAGTAGCCTCGTCCTCGCGGCTGAGTCCGATTCCTCCAGCAGAGGTGGAGAGGATGTGGCCTACCGCCGTGGTCCATGCAGCGCGAATTGACGGGGCTTTATCGTTCTTCCTGCTCAAGAAGTTGTGGAACGTCGTACTATGTGTTTGCGAGAAGGATATGGAGCAAAGGGGCGTGGTGAGAATGTTGGTCACTTGGGGTTCCGCTCTTTCTTCTTCTTCTTCCAGGCTCAATGGCGGGTATACAGCTGGATCAAGGACGGGCAGTGGAGGCGGACCTGCCGCGCCAATGCCTGAAATCATGTCTCCGAGCGTCTCCGTTGCCATCTGTCGCAAGTGCACATTGTCTGCTGAGAGCTCTGCATCAACCTGAGGGACAACGTTTTGAAGGATCATGGGAGAGGCCTTCCAGATCTCCCGAATAAGCACATGTGCTTTCCTCAATTCCTTCAAGTCGGACTCGGAGGGCCCTGTCGGGCCATCATCCTCATCGTTTTCATCATCCTCGTCTCTGTTGCCGTTCGACCTCCCCGCAAACCCTGTCGCATCGACAATCACATCACTAAAATACTGACTGGCGAAACGGGCCATCTTGTCGTCATAAGTCTGGCATAGATTCCTGACCATCTGGTAAGCCTCGGGCTCTTCCTTCAGGAGCAGCGTTGCCTGGCTGTCATCGATTGGCACATGATCCTGCCGTTCCTTGCCTAGTCCCGGAGCAGCAGCTCTCAGGAACTGGGCCATGATGACATCCACAACTTTTCCTGGAAGGGTCACGGAGTCGTCGATGAGTACTCCCAGCATCTCTTGCATGCTAAACTCGACGTCTTTTCCAACCTGCTCTCCCTTGGAAGATTTGACACCCGAGACACCGTCGAAAATTGTGGTAAAAAGCTTGAGTAGCAAGGCTTCGCTGCCTTCAACATCAAGTAGCAGAACGATACTCTTGATCTCGGCAAAGGATCGTAGCACATATTTGTGCTGGTTGTTGTAAGGATTCGATGGATCGAAGAGGGCGGGAATGATGGAGTTGATGCTGAGGTTAAAGATATCCTGTTTTGCGATCACCAACGTCAGCAAGTGGGCCATGAGATGGTGTATTCTGGCTCTCGAACCTTGAGTTGCGATGGTGTAAAGGGCGCATCGGGGGCACATAGCCTCAAGATATCGACAATGCAGCATGCTGTGTATGCTCGTACGCCCTTGTCCTTGTGTTGGATGAGCTGATGAGAGGCTACATCCTTAGCAACCTTGACCAGTGAATTGGTGTCCACAGTCTCCTGATCCATCTCCGACAGCTCCTTGGAGAGGGCGTCGAGCCTCTTGAGCAGTGTATCGATGGAGATGGGCTTGCCGGGGCGCCATGTCAAGGGCTCGTTGAACTCGAGTGCGACCAGTCCCTGTTCCTGCTCCTGCTCGAGCTCCTCCTCCTCCTCCTCGGGAGCGCTTCGACGTGGCGCCATGGCGGCTGATGCGCTGCGATCGGTTACCTTCCTGCGTATGATCTTGAGGACGAGCTAGCTGACTAACTGATTTGGCCAAGTGACCAAGCGGCGAGGATGGGAAACTGATTCGAATGAAAAGGCGGAGGCAGAAAGGAGCTGGGAGGGCCTAAGAGTCTATGGGCGACCGCAAGCCGCGCGTGGTGTCGTGGTGCGACGTTAACGAGAAACGTCGAGGCTCAGGCCGTCGACTCGCGATTGGCGATGCACGCGGGTCCTTGGAGATATACGGGCAGCTTGGTATCGCGGGCCACGAAAGATAATCCGAGATAATGATATGCGCAGGTGGTGTCCAGATGTCGCGCGAGAGGCCGCCTGAGCTCGGAGGAGGATACGGTCAGTTGCGGTGGGATGATGAGTCGTTGATATGGTTCGGCAACAGCTGTGTTACGCGCTTGCCCGTCCTGTTCCTTCGCGTGACAGTACAACAATTCGTGAACTATAACTGGGGGGACAATTGGCGGGACGGATGGCAGGCAGAGAGAGAGCTGCCCAAGAGCCAAGGAGCTGCAGCGTCCGCAATGACAGGGGCCCTGTGACCACTGGCAAGGGGCCCGGTGAAACGTTGCGATCAGCTTACAGCAAAATTACCACTCACTGTTTCGGCAAGCCGCACAAGCATTACTTCTGTATGAAAATATGGTATCAGTAATTACAGTATGGTCGGAAAGTCGAGAACACCCGACTTTTTGGGACTCTCCAAACTCCAAACAACGCTGTCAATGCAACTTGAACTTCAACCGCACGTCAACAAAGCCTCTCAAACCACCTAGAACTCAATCATGACACTCTTTCATTCAACATCCCAAACATATTGGAAGCTACCCAAAGTATGTGAACTACGAGTCGTCATTGAGCAGTATTTATTGTTATGGAATTATTTTGTCTACATTCGTACTGGGTGGGAGCCTTTAACAGCGTAACATATTCACGTTGACTCTGTCACTAGTCCACTTTGTTTGACGTGTTGCGCAAGAGGAAGTCTTGAGATCTTTCATTCATGCATTCCAGCTCACTTTATTCGACACGTTCATGGATATTGTCAATGGCTTCACAACTTCACATAGTCTGAAACAATACGTTACCTCATTCTCATCTTCAGTGCCTTGCTTGCGATTCTCCTCGCTGAAAGTTTCCGGCATCGTTTGACGTTTACGAGTTGAGATCGTTACGCTTCAACAAGGAATCATATGTGCCAAAGTCATGTCTACCTGCTCGGCGGAATAGACAACCTTACATTCTCAGAAGCTACAAAGCAGACATACCTAAACGTCTCTTCATATCCAACACTTCCTGCGGCACTGCAATCCATTTATCATCCGTTTGTATCATGCTCACCAGGACATGGATATATTCACGAATCATCCTACATTGGATCAAACAGCCGCAGACTAACAATCGAATAGTGCAAGTGGTTATATCCAGATACTGTGAGATCATCCCCTCTCAGCGGCTAGCTATACTTGGAATCAGAGTGGTTGCTAAGTACATAACATTTTGCTTCTTTTTACTTTTCCGCACAAACCTGCAACATCCACCCAGGCAGATTACACGAACAGATCTGACCATCCATCATACCGAAGAAAACAGACGTTTTCTTGGTTCAATCATCTCGAGAGGACCTAGCCTCGTCACAAACCTCGAGTAGTAGGTGAAAGCAGGGTTACCTCTACCCGCGGAACCTTTGGACATGGAAGGTACGCCGCTAATTGTACGGACAAGCTTCAGGTGAATTGCGTTTCCAACAAGCGCACCTCCCTATCTGGAGGACTCCCCAGGTTCCCAACTGTTGCCGCCCCGTTTTCATCCCATCCCCCTCCTCGGTCGCCTGTCGAAAACGGTCGTCCACAATGGCAGCTGCTGCAGTGGTTTTGACATTCACTCCCTCCTTTCCCCGCGTATAAGAATCCCAAAGCTGGCCCGCAGTCTCTCCTTCCACCTTTCCTCCTTCCCACCTTGCACTCTTCTTCAACAACTGCGGGATCGTCTTTCCACTCTCAACAGCCACTCGTTCAGCGCGCGCGCATCCAGCCCTCCGGGATTAATCACTCGTAAGCACCTAGCCCTATCTTTCTGCTTCCCTTTTTATTTCTCGTTCATTTGTTTGTATTGTCGCGACGACTCGTCGCATGGTGGGGAGGCTCCTCGATCGCAACATGATCGCAACATGACAGTGGTCTTGCGATACCTTCGTGGGGCACCTCTTCACCATGCGCCCGGTCTCATCACCATAGCAGGCGACTCTGCGCGCGTCAAGAGGTCTTGATTTCGGACTCTCACCAGCGTGCTCATGCCTCGTCGCCGTTGTCGTAAAGCCTTTCTGGGCCCCCTCTTCCCTTCCCCTGTTCTGCCCCGCGCCCATGAGTTATGGTTACTCTCTCATCTTGCGCGTCGTCTAACCATCCTTTCTAGCTTGTCTTTTTGACCGCCACAATGTCTGACAACAGTGTCATCGGCTGCATTCCCATGCGTAACGGCAACGAGGAGCCCTGCGTTGTCATGAACACTGAGGAGCCTTGCGTCGTTATGCGTACCGAGAAGAAGGGCCGCAAGGTCAACATGATGCTGATGGCCGCTGCCATCTCTGCCCTCAGCGTTACCGGTGCCAACGCTCAGATGGGTTATGGCAGCGCGGGTGCCGTAGCTGCCTCCAGCTCTAGGTAAGTCTTTGAATTCTCGATTCTCAAACGAAGACTAACACTGACAGTACCTGTGTGTCTAGCGCCTCGGCTTGCATTCCCATTACTATCACTGTCACGCCTTCGGTCAGCGCCGCTGCCGATCAGACCACTGGCGAAGTCGATGGGGTTCAGGGCAGCGCCTCTACCAGCGAGCCCATGACTTACATCACCAAGACTGCCGTTGCCACGTTGACCCATACCACTACCTTCGTGAAGGCTACCCAGCCCGCCGGAAACCTGACGACCACTGCCACTCAGTACAATGGCACCGCCACTAAGACAGCCATCGCCATGACCGGCACCGGCACTGGTGTTTCTTCTTGGGCCACCGGACCCTCCCACTCTGCGGCCAATGGTACTTATGCCTCTCCGACCGCCACTGCTGACCATCCCCAGCACGCCGGCGCTGCGACCTCTTCCAGCGTCAGCTACACTCATCTTGCGGTGGCTCTGATTGCCTCTGCCGCCCTGGGTGCTGTCTTCGGCGCCTAATTGACCTTTCAGGTTATAGTATCGCCGTCACACCCTAGGATTTTGAGTGTCTCTCTCTTTCGAAAAGACATTTCTTCTGTCTCGGTTGGAGTTTGGCTGGTTTGTTTTGGGCTTTCTCCTAACTGGATCACTCGGTGTTTGGGAAGGAACATGCCGGTAAAAGAAGATAAGCTTTGGTTGGCTGAGATATTTGGTTTTTGGAACTGATATCTCGTTGGCTTTCTGGAAGTATCTCATAACATGGTATAGGCTCCCATATCATTGTTTTCGAAGCGCATGATAGGGTTGACCGATAGGGCAACATGGACAGGTGCATGACGCACAGACATAGTATGAAGTCTCATACATGACATTTCTCTGTACTACGCGCATCCAAAGCCGAGTGGCTTTACTTGGTGATATCCGTGCAACTGAATCCGAGTGACTCTGCTTTGTGACCAATTCCATAAAATCTTTTCGACTACTCGTGATTGAATATGATATTACACCAAGCACATGTGCCTTCACTGCATCTACGAATGTTCGACTTGTCAAAGTGTGTTCGGAAGTTGGTTATAAGCACTGGGTTCCTTGTACAGTCGGAATATGTACAATCTTTCTAGGATTTAGTCATCAATTCTAGCCTTCCAAAATGTCTTGTTGAAGGGCTGTACTGGGGGTATAACAAATAGTCAACCATGACTCGACTGGCTGTCTGATATACAAACCGGGGTGAGAAGTCATCCGCAAACTCTGGAGACCCAGGTGGGTGACTTACGTATTCTGATCTTGGGGAAACCTCAGTAGAGGTACTCGAGAGAAGTGTTCTCAACTCCATTCGGAGCTTGAATCTGTGGGGATGCTGGATCTCTTACAGCTAACAATGACTCCACGAGCGTAGGTAGTCATGGCAAATGGGGTATTCAGAGCACAATGCCGTAGCATCCACCATCCAGCAACAGTCGCGCTACTTTGAGGAGAGGACCTGGGCTGTCTTAAGTACACCGGAATCTGGAGCAGATACAACAGACGCATTATGCCGAAGTTTTGCCGCTTATATATCCAGACCTTCGGTTCAAACCCCTCCAAGCAGTGAGACTTATCAGCCTGCCTTCGTTGCCGTAGCTATTCCTCACTCAGCTGAACAACCATTTTTACAACCTTTCAAAAACGTCCACATGGTAAGCATCCCTTCTTGGCTTCACGTCAGACGAACCTAGCAGATAGAATAGTCACAGACTTCCGTCGCGACTGAAACAGCAGCGACAACCAAAGGGTGTACCTCAAGAAGTCGAATGTATTACCCTCGCTGTTAGCCTGTGTGGCTGCCGTTTCATCGGTCCTGCCGCCCGTGGGCCATAGCTGATCGAAATAACTAACCATTGGCGGTTGAAAGGCGGCAAGACAACTTCAAATGCACGACGGAAAGACTTCGTCTCAACATCATGCAAGTCGTCTGCACCACTGCACAACCCAAGAATTGGGGTTGACACCCGAGATAACCGTTGTAACGACCAGTTATGCTCATTCTCTGACACAAAGCTTCTTCGGGACCGCAACCTGATACCCAACGACCACCACTCAAGGAGAGTGTTAGAAGCCCGATGTGGCTCGAATTGCTCTTGAACAAAATCAACCGTCCAGTTCTCCTTGTTGAAGACCATTTGCCTCCTTCCCGGATAACCAGAAGAAAGAATAGAGGATAGTTCCGGATCATCATCGATCGGCTTCATCAGGTTATAGAGCCACCAACGCGGCTTCTGGATATTTGGGGAGTACTTGGTTAACAACGCAAAGGAGGAGGTCGGTATCCTTGCGGTCGTTAGTGGTTGGGATTGGGTTGGCCTGCAAAGTGTAATTGCAGCCCTCGCTGGGAACGTGGGAGTCATTGTGCATGAAATTGAGCGAATCCAAAGGTAGGCGTTTCATTCGCGCGTCCATACATCTACATTTGAACAATATATACCGATGGCAAGATATTGACCCGAGACCTCCCGCCCACTTTCTACTCGTCTTCAATCCTCATCACCCATCTCCCCCTCCCCGCCTACATCATCCCCATCCTCCCCCTCCCCATCAACCCAAACTACCACATTGTCCAACCCCTCAGCCCTCTCCTTGAAAAACCTCCTGACCTGTCCCACACTATACCTTAGACTAAAATGCATCACCACAAACGTCGTCTCGGGGTACTTCCTCACGACCTTCTCCAGGTCCGCCCAAATCGTATGCTTGGTCTTTTCCGCCTGGGCTCTATGCTCCTCAAACAGAAAACTGCACTCAGTAATCACCACCGGCAGTTTATCGTTTAACCACCCCCTCATCGGCTCCTCTTCCAGCGTCTTGGTGGTGGTATCCCCCAAAAACGCAAAGATGGGACTCGTCACCGGAGCTGTCAGTTCTTGTCCACTGGCCCTGATCGCTTTGAGCTCCTTGGGCGGCAGTTTTGCGAACTCGGGCTTCAGCTTATGCGTCGTCTGCTGGAACAAATATCCAAGACAAGGGACGGTATGATCGCAGGCAAAAGCCACAGCGCTGATATTCTTCGTCCGTCTCAACGGTACCACATCCCCCGCCTCCAGACCGTACGTCACGTGCGTCGGCCTGATTTCACTACGCACCACCTCCCCCGTTTCCGGATCCCGTATCTCAAGCGGCACTTCCTTCCCGGGCCTCGGCGCTATCAAACCCCCCAAGTTTAGCATCGTATTCGCCCGCAGGTAGTCTTCCAGCACCTGTTTCATCCCCACCGGGCAATGAAAATCAGGCGGATCCTCGCGCTTGATGAACACGGGAGAGGAAAGCGCGTGGTCATTGTGTCCGTGCGTGATGAAGAGGTGTTTGGGCCGAGATTTGTTGATGACCAAGCCGGCGTCCAGCAGGAGGTTGAGTTGCGGGATCACAAAGGAGGTGTGCCAGGCCGCGCGCGATTTGCCGGTTAGGATGTAGTGTGAGAAGGGCTTGGGGAGGGACCATTCGAGGATGTCGGAGCGGGCGGATTGGGGGAGGGGGGTGGCGAAGGTCAGGGTTTTGGCTGGTTTTGGTTGGGATTGGGACCCAGGTGCTGGTTGTTGTGGTGGTGGTGCCATGGTCAAGTATCTGACTGGTGTTGTCGAGGATATAGTGTAGTGGTGAGGTGAGATAATGGGGAATGTAAACAATGATCGAGGGAGTGATAAGGGGTAAAAAGTCTTGGCAAGGGAGTTTGGTGCTTGCCTGCTGGCGTTGGGTTTTCCGATTTCGGTCGCTGAAAAGAGGCGTCAGTCATCATTGAGGTGAAAGGTCAGAAGGAGACAACGTGCCTATTGTTGATATTGATATAATATTTGGCTGCTAGAGTGTTACCCAGACGGTGCTCCAGACTATACCGCGAAGTGCTCTGCTGAGGTTGTTGCGAAAGTTCAGGTTCAAGAGACAATCAAGTGTGAAATCATCAACGCTGAAGTCGGAGCCCCACATTTCAATGCCAAGGAATGATAAACACTGGAGATGACAACACACATTGGACCGTTAACACTGATACTGGAATCAAAGAAAACCCTTCCTTCCTTGCTATTACCTACCAACTCTTTCTAGTCTATTCACACCAAAATTGTTGGTCAATATTGACCGCTGTGTTGTCCTCGGCGAGCAATACCGGCCGGCCGGCCTGTGACGCATGCCATACTACTTTAGTTGTAGCCCGTGCCAGCACAGTTGCCCTGACACTCAGCCTCAACACCTTTCACCATCCTTTGAAATCCCCATTGGAGAATTCGATTGGATTGATTAGAGGCGGCATCTCAGACTCTTACCTGCATTGATTCTCAGATGCCCGGCGAGATCCTGGTTGTATGGGATCAAAAGCCGTACTGCTCTCCAGGATTAGCACCAAACGTGTGATCATAAGACGAACCATTGAGGTCAGTGCAAGCAAGATTTGGACCATGATCATGCAACTTCTCGTAATTTTTGTGTGATCTGAATGTTGAGAAAACTCCCTGTTCAATAGATATATTTTGCGAAGTAAACCGTCTGACAACACACCAACGCCCGGAAAAAGGAAAAAAAAAATGATCCGCTTCCGAGTAAATGCACAAACCGCCCATGTTTCGCTTCCAAGAACCCAACCGAGAGATGTTGATGCATGCGTAACTTTCGTTTCTCTTCCCCATCTCGAGTGTTTTGCTTTCCATTCTTTCCTTCCAGTCTTGGCTTCGACGTTGTGTAAACCGAAAAAAAAAAGAAAAACCCTGACCTTCAAAACGCTTATCTTCGGATGGATACCACCTCAGTGACTCGGCGTAGGCATCCGACATACCTCTTCCTGTGGGGGATCAGCAAGATGCCTAAACCAACTCTTCTTCCTCCTCTTCCACTAGTCCGCGATATTTCATCTCCACCACCCAACGGTCCTCAAAGTCGATGCCCCTACGCATCTTCGTCCCTGCCTTCTTCCACATGGCAGGGCCAAGACCCAGATCCACCAGGTAGAGTTTCCACTCCAGCACGGCATCGTCTGGCAACGAGGTATCCCCGCCAGCCAGCACCGTATCCCCATCATCATTCTCCGCCGCCATCAGAGCCTCGAGCAGTCCACGCTTGGGCGCACCAACGGCAACAACGTAGCGCGGCTTGACATACAACTTGTTACCGTCAACAACGCTAACCTTGCCTGTCGATGGGTCGATGCCTGTGGGAATATCAACTGCAAGGGCAAATGCCTCATTACGGTTAGCCCACTCGATAAGCTCATAGACCGTCGCCTGGTCACCGTTTCTCAGTTCATCAAAAGAAATGGCCAGGCCCAGCAACGCGTCGATAATGAGCATAATAGGAGCCGGGTTAGCGAGGCTACTTAGTGACGAGCGAGGTGTGTCGATTGTCAGCATAGGAATACTGATCTTGCGAAGGTGCTCAAAAAAGTCGCTCTTGGAGAAGATGCGTCCGCCCATGTTCTTGTAGAGGCGAACTTGCTGGCGCATGTCTTCGAGGAGATCACGCTCACCACGCTCAAGGCCAACCACGCACACGATCACGCTGATGTTCTTGTTGCGAAGATGCCGGGCGGCAGCAACAGCCCGGATCCCAGATTTGTTGTTACCGGCAAGTACAACAACTGTCGGTGGCGGCGGGTTACCGGACGTGGGATCGACGATGCTTGAGTGGCGCACCTTGATAGCCGGGTCCGAGAGCGCTGTAAGCGTCACCTGTGCAATGCCACGTCCGGCATTCTCGGTCATCATCTCCTCTGTAAGGCCAATCTCGTTGTGTGCAATGTTCTCTAGGTTGAGCATTTGCAGAGCCGAGACGGGCTCGATCTTGCGATTCGACGGAAGCACGTAAAGGCCCTGCGGACTTGCTGCAACCGTTGTCGCCGGTTGCTTCTTTTTGTCAACGATAGCTGCCCTCGCTGAGAGCCGACTACTCGGCCGACTGCCCTTAGCTGATAGGGTGCGGTAGTGGCTTACACCAGATGAATTCACTCTGCTCAAAGGGTGTGCCGCCGGGACGCCGCTCGCCTTACGGGAATTCGACCTCCGGTTGGATGCCACCTTGCTGTCTCCTCGGCGTGACCCTTGCCTGCTCGCTTGATCTCTCCCACTCAGTCGATCGGCTCCGTTGATCACCCCATCATCAGCTTCACTGTTCCAAAAGTCGTTGGATGTCTCCTTGACGATCGGCTTCGGCTTCAGTATGGTAGATGGCATGTCGAGGACGTTCTCCGAATGGTGCAGGTTCTTGCCACCGGCGGTGCCAGGTTTGTGCTTGGGTACACGATTGTGCGATACCAGGCGGTCGGCCTCGTCAATCAGATCGTCTTTGCGCATTTGTTCAAACAAATCTTGCTTGTTGAACTTGGCGAGACCAGATTCAAAGTCAAAATCGCCGGCTTCTTGCACATCAGTGACATCTTCCGAAGCCCAACCGTTGTCGTTTGCTCCTCGCATCTTCTTCAGAGAATTGAAGGGCTGGAAGGAGGAGGTACTCTGCAAAATAGGCGTCTGTCTCCAGCCTTTGCCCTTTGTAGTTGCGCGAGAGACCTGCGGAGACGCCTCTGAGTCTTCCTGTAGCCCACTTCTCGAGTTGTTTCCAGTCCTGCGTGGCCGTCTGTTCTTTTTCTTCTGAGCGGCTGCGGCTGCTTGTTGCGAGCTGGCATCGGGTGCAAGGTCTTCGTCCGCAGACTCTTGGGTGCTGGTTTGAGCGTCCAGTTCCAGGCGTCTCAGCCTATCTACTACAGGGAGAGTCGGGGTGGCAGTCCCGGATGGGATGGGTACAACATTATTCGACGGAATAACAGCCGGAGTCGGGTCTCTCTTCTCACTCGTGTTTGGTTGGTGACGGGAGGTATCCGACGCATGACCTGACAGAGAGCCAGGGCGCTTCCCAACAGATAGAATGGCGGGATCCACAAAGGCTACTGGCTTAGTCGGCGGCGGCGGTTGAGCAACAGGCGGAGCGACCTGCGGAATGGCATGGGGGACGGCGTGAGGAGGTGGGATGACGTGAGGAGGGGGCACCGGAGGGGGCACGGCGGTTTGGGGAGAAGGTTCTTCGCGCAAGTAGACAATGTCGACAATGTTCGAGGAGAGAATGGAGACTCTCGGCTCCCACCGGTTGTTATCGACATTCCAAACTGAGCAAAGAGATTCACGTTAGCAAGGCGAGCCTCGAAAGACAGGAGGAAGGGAAAGAGAAAGGGAAAGGGAATGAACAAACCATTGGTCAGAGTCAAGCCGTGTCCAGCCTGCACTTCGCTGACAGTGCCCTTCAGTCTCGCCGGCGGATTACGCATCGTCACCAACATGGGAAGACCGATGAACGAATCCTCCGCCATGGCTGCGAACTGTCCGAGGATGACGATGTAGACAAAGGGACGGTTCCGGGTGGGTAGATAGTAAGAGGTGTGATAAATTGATGTGTAATAGTCGATGAACAGACTGTGAACAACAACGAAACGAGCAGGGTCGGCTGGTTACTCGAGGCGTGCGATCTCGTCGGATCCGTCCTTTGCTGTCTGGCTGCAATGCGACAGCCGACAACGGTGGATGCGGTGCGGTGTGTGGGGTGCAGCTCTGGACCCGGTGCCTTCTGGACACTTGAGATGGCGAAGGGACGCGCGACGAAACTGGATCGATGTCGGGGCAGTGGTTACCTCTACGCTTCGAGCACTGGAGTGGAAGGAGACGACTCAAGTCGTGAAGTCGAGTGATGGAATCGTGCCAGAGACTGGGAAGGTGCCAGTCCGTCGCCCGGCGATTGTGGTGCCAAGTGGAAGAAGGTCGCGCGTCCTGGCTTCAGTCGGTCCCCCCTTCCACTTTTTACTTTATCGATAACAGCCGGTTTTGGTGGTGAAGGGACGGGAGCTGCACAGGTGCGACAAAGCTTGGCAACCGCCAGCGGTGTACCGGTACTGCGCGTCTTGTTCGTGAAATACAGTGTAAAATGCTATACTCGGTACGAGTGCACGTGAATTCTTACTCGAATGAGCCGTGCAACTGTGCCGATACAGAACAGTATGTCATAAAACACGGCACTGTAAATAGCCACACACGAAGTGCCCGCAGTACTTGGGTAATGCAGCGATCTACCACGAACCTTCTCGGCGTCGAGTCACTTCATCAACGTCTGTCCAATCTCAAAAGGGGAGTTGAGAGCACGAGGTAATAAGAGACATGACCCTGACAGGGGACGGGGCCAAATGCAGGTGGGCGGCCGAATGAAGAGGGAAAACATGACTGTGTTTCACAACGTCTGACCAACAAGCCACTTATGTATGTACACCAGTAAATAAACCCCTGCAGTTGCAACTCAATTCCGACAACGATTCTTCTTGCAACCAAAAGCAGGAGTTCAGGCCACTACTTACTACAAAGCCCCTGACCCGTGTGTATCAAAGCATGGCCCCCGTAGTTGAAGATGCCAACTGCAAAGGAGGTTGGTCCTTTGTAGCTGAGCTTCAGCCTTGTAGTCGCTTTGGGTAATTGGTTATGTTGGCAAAATGTCTAAAGAGGTTGGAGGAATAATGCCACGCGAGCCTAGATCTACAGGTACCTCTGTATGTGCCTGCTGATCTTTCTTACAACAATTTTTTTTTACCAATTGGGGATGACGGAGAGGAGATATACCTCGCCATGATCCGATATCTGCCAGCTTGCTATCTGCTGCTGCCCGCACACTTCCGTCCGTTCGAGACCATCTAGGTCTATAGGCTGTGAGTGGTTGTCCCAGCCCCCAAAGTACCAGCTCACCTGGGGCAACCTTTTTCCTTGAATATGTCCACCTTACCGATACATAAACCAAAGCCAATCCTCGGCTTAACGACCTTGACGCCACCCAAAATAACAGTCAACTCAACCATAACACCGTCTGATGCTGCCATAATCATGTCCCTTCCACCTTGTTTTATTAACCTTATTCGCTAAAGTCGACCATCAACCATATCCTGCCATCCTCTCCTCTTCGTCCTCAATGTCAATCACCTCTCTTCTCTGCTGCTGCTGCTTCGTAATAGCCTGGGCGACAGATGGAGTCTTGTACGCAAACTTGGTGATGGACTGGTCCACCTTCGTTCGTTTCATCACTGCCGACTCGGCGCTGTAAAGCTTGTTGTAGAAGCTGACGACCCTCGGGTGCGCCATGACCTTGTCCTTCTGGAAGCGGAGCACCTGCAGACCCTGCTGCGTGGTAGCTCTACTGAGCGCGACGTATGCCTGTCCCTTTTCAAAAACCCTGCCGAGGTCGACCTTGACGCGTTCAAGCGTTTGGCCCTGCGCTTTATGGATCGACAGAGCCCATGCAAGAATCAGGGGAAGCTGCTTTCGAGAAGCCTGGACCTCACCAGTAGGAAGTTCCACCTTCCAGTCCTCCGGCTGACACAGAATGTCTCTCCTGGTCCCATCGACGGCGTGGAATCGCACCAACGGATACTCTGTGTTGTCGCCTTTCTCAATAGCTGCATTGGAAAGCGCGCTGGTGAAGGCCTTGATTCTTCTCTTCTTGTCCAGATCCTCATCGTCGTCAAAGTCACTGCTCGCTTTCAGCTCAAATGTTGCTTCGTTCATGAAACCAACGACAGTCCCGAGGGAGCCGTTCACGAGCGTCTCGTCCATATTCTTGATGAGCATGACCTGGGCATCCTTCTTTAACTCTATTACGGGAGGAGCCATCATGTTGGCAAGAAGTTTTTCGCGGACCGCCGGCTCACCGGTATCGTACGCTTCGTAGCGGTAGATTTTGCCCTTCAAGGCAGCGAGTCGTTGTCTGTTCGAATTCTCGACTTCATTTCTCGTCGGGAACAGTTCTGTTACTTCAAGCCCGTCATCAAAGGCTAGAGGTCTGCTAAGTTGTTGGAAGTTCTTGACGGTCCTGTCACTGATCCTTCCCAACCGCATCTCGTTGAGCATCTCTGCAAATTCTAAAGGTTGTTAGCCGCATGTTTGACTTGATATCCCAGAGTTGAACTGCTTACCAGGATCTCTCTGACGGAACACTTCAGTCAACCCAATGGTATGGTCGATGGACATGTTCCATGTTGCTGCATCAAAGGCAAACTTGACATCCCTCTGCTTGTTCAGATCTTTGTCCGGTACAGGAGGCAGCTGAAAGAAATCACCAGTGATGACCAGCTGAATACCACCCCAAGGCCTGCCGTTGTTCCGGATGATTCTGCCGATCTGGGACAGCTTATCAAAAAGCTCACCGTCAACCATGGAAATCTCATCGATGATGAGAACCTTGGTCTTGAGCCATCGGGTTTTGGCCTTTTGGTTGCGCCTGATTTTCTTGACGAGCGTTTGGATATCCTCCTTGCCGAGACCGATGCCAGCGAAGCTGTGCAATGTCATGCCGCCAATATTACACGCTGCAAGGCCGGTCGAAGCTGTAACCGCTACTCTTTCCGGCTCCCGAGCAAACTTCTTTTTGAGTTCTGAGATGATCGCTCTCATCAGCACCGACTTTCCTGTACCGGCCGGACCTGTGAAGAAGACGCTCTGCCCCTTTTCTACCACCAAGCTCTTCACGTGAAGCTGCTCGCCGCTCAATGTAATGGCTGACGCCTTGCTAAGATGGGACGAAACGACCTTCTTGATCTCGTCCATGGGTATTTCCGTCTTGGGAGCGACCGAGGAAGACTTTTGCCTGTCTTTGAGCTGCTTCTTCTGTTCCTTGACCGCGCTTGCCGTAGTGTTCCATAGCATGGACCCCTTGGGCTTCGATTCCGGCGTGGGAGCATATCCGCTCTTCTCTAGTGAGTATTTTTCGGCATGTTTCCACTCCTCCTCCTTTGATTCCGGTTCCATCGTCCAAGGTAGTTCGCGCTTTGGTTTCTTTACAGCGGCGGGCGGTTCGAAGTCGAAGTCGTCGTCTTGCAGGCGGTCGCGTCTCCTGTTGGTATTGGGAGGGGGATTCAGCTCGCGCTTGGGGGGTTGAAGATGGGATGGCGAAGACTCCGACCAAGAAAGAACACTGGTATGAGTCCCTGGCGGGAGCTCGCGGAACCGAGATTCTTTCACTTCCTCCTCTTGTTGCTTTTGCAACTCCCGATGTTGTTCGAGGCTTATTCGCCCAGTTGGGAGGACTGGCAAGGCGGATGGGGCTTCGAAGTCCAAATCGAGGTTCTCGTCATCGCTGAAATCGTCATCCTCAATGTATACCGACGAAGTTAAATCATGCTGAGGTCGCCTTGTTGATTGCATGGAAAGGTCGATCACATCTGGGGTATCATTGAAGGAGTCAGAAGCGTTGTAAAGCGACGCAAACGCTCTGCCACTGCCACTGCCACTGCTGCCGTAGCTGGGAGGCGGTCGCGGAGCACTATTCGCGGGTCGAGTCGTCAACGGGTCGGTAGTCGCTGAAGGTCTTGAACTGGCGGAAATGGCACCGCTAGAGGCACCACCGAACCCAGGTTTCTTGAACATATCGGCGACGGATGATGTCCTAGACTGGGAGCCGACTGAGGGGGCGCGTGCGGGACTGCTAGAAGGAAAGAGTTGCTGCTTCAGGGAAGCGTTGTTGGTTATTGACGAAGCACCGGGCTTCGACTTGTTATTGTTGTTGTTGGCCTCGGCGGCCTTTGCTTGGACTGCCCTGCCAAACATGATGTCTTCGTCGTGGAGTGCTTCGAGTGGGAAGGCGGCACACTTGGGGGCAGAGTTGTGTACATGGGCTCGCAGAGGTGCGCGGTGCACGAGAACGGCTTGGAAGGCTGACCAGTTCGGGGAAAGGTTCAGGTTGATGGTGGCCCGGTGCAGGAGCAGGTGGTGACCGGCAAGCAGCCCAGTCTTCATACAGCTTTCGACCCCTCAGAGGGACAGTACCACCACTTATCGAGTGCTAAAGTATCGTTGTACGCTAATTTCACGATTAACCCTTTCGGTCGAGTTGGCGTAAAGTCTTGGCTCGGATTGGATCATTAAATTCCAGTTGTCATCTTGCATTTGACAAAAAAAAGGCACACCATAGCGATACCAGGTAACGCGTTCGTCTAGGAAAATCGCGTTCGTTTGATTTTCCACTAAACGCGGAGGACCGTGCACGGGGCGATAGGAAGTGGAATCCAGACAATGTGAGGGGCTCGAGGCGGGGGGTTCCCCTGCAAATTGTTTGCGGTGCCCCTGGCGCTTTTGGGGGGCAACGAACCATGGCAACCACGGTGAAGACCCAGCGACCAGAACATCTTGACATCCAACTAAGAATTGCAACCATCCTCACCTCGGTGAGAACACCAAAAGGTAGCCGCGAAACGTGGGGTAGCCATGTCTTTAATTGCTAACATCCACACCACCTGTGTGCGATTACGATGACGTATGCCACCAGGCCGAGATATTCATGGGGTTTGTGTAAGTTTGGTTTTCTAAGTGAAAGATATATCAAATAGATCCCGAGATAAACGTCGGTACAGATGCACAAATGTGATCGTCACCCGTCCATATATATATACTACATAGCACACTACATACATACCTTTACCAACAGCCGGAAAACCTGAGGGGTACAGAACCCAAACTGGCGGGCCATCAAGAAAGAAACAATCCACGATCCGCGTGACGGCCCGTATTGCCACACTGACCTATTCCAGAACATTTCCTGTGAGCACTTCTTGGTGGGCGTTTTCCTGTTGGGTTCCCATAGATTTCCCTTTCGGACAAATCTCACTCATCACGGCAATGTTGTGTTCCTTGTCGGACATGCCGCAACATTAAAAAGCGGTGGTCGAGGAAGATTTCAGGGACGATCCGGCCACCGCCAAAAGACAGTTTCTAGTCACTGCTAGTACGTATGTATAAAGTGCCGTCGATTCGTCGACCCAGCTTGTAGGACCCCGTTGTGGAACCGTATTAGCGCACCGGCCCATGGTTGAGATTCTCCCCTTCCCAAGGTTACCTGTACATGAAAAGAGAGATATCTTTGCTTCTCTTCTTTCTACTCATTTCAAGTGCATGAATCAAATGGCGCAAGACTGAATCGATCCGCAAAGGCAAACAGGGATTCCTCTCAACCTCCCACGACTCCACCGTATCACACAGCTCCGGGTTTTTTTTCTTTCTTTCTTGTTGGCCGAGGATATGCATTCCATGTGATGCCAATGCTTGGCTCGGTAATCACGGTCGCGGATAGGTTCTTGGAAATGAGCTTGAGCATGAGTCAAGAAAAAGCTTTCCGTTGAGAAGCTTTTCAATAAGAGGCTGGATGTGCTGGGCAGTGGCTGAGGTAGTGTATTCTGGGCCCAAAACCTGGCAGTTGATTCGGATCTGAGATCGCGGCTTCGGTTTGATATAGTGTATCAGGTATACGTAAACTTACACACAAGGTACCATGCTGGAGTTCGAGTCAGATATGTTAAACCCAATACCAAAACGTCAAGGTGTACGTAAGTGCAGTGTGATAAGCTTGCCGGTTTCCGACACTGTGTTCGTAAATGTACTTGTGTATGCAGGCAGGTTGTCGACGGAATAGAGTCGGACAGCGGTCGGATGGTGTCGTGCCGATTACCACTACGTAAGCACTGTGTATCTTCAGCCTCCTTTACCGTACATCCAGCTACCATGCCACCCGGCTCGGCAATCCTTAGCCTTATCTTGAGAAGCTTCCATGGCGATCGAGACTGGTCGTTGTGCGGTACCTGGGATGGGAGGTGAGAGAAGAGGCGTGATATACATATGGGAATGCCCATCAGTCACGCCAAAGAAGAAAGAGGGGACCGCCGCAAACGTGGATCTGGATGTCATGACCAGGCAGTGCAGGGTTCGTCCATCGTCACATCCAAACACAAGACCGCTATTTCGAGATGCCGTCCCTTGAACTTTGTGTATTCCCTACAAGGCCGAAGGATAGGAAGACTCTCGTGACCCCCGTGTTACTGCAATGCACAGAAAGACCCCAGATGGAATATATATGCAGAATGCAGCCTTCATCCAGAACTGAATACCAGATCCTAAGTACCAACCCCCGCAGACCCATCCGAGCTGTCTCATCATCACACTTCAGTTCTCCCGTGGGGTGCATGCTGTTCTATGTACACATGATGGTCGCTGTGAGATGGAAGCAGGAGGTTGGTTCCCGTCCCCATGGAAGTCCCTTTCTGCCTTGGTGCACCATGCCCCACCTGTATCCAGCTTTTGCAGCGCGGCGGGTAGCCATAGCTGGGGAACGCTCCACCAATCCCACGATACGATTGGTTTTTGTCTCGACCGCCAAGGTTCTCTTGACGGTATCGGTCCCAGTCGGGATCGGGCACGTCCACTTACAAGTTGTTTAAACCACATGCGTTTGGTACTGTACTGTGCGCGCAGACCGATGCCCGTGGCGCAGACGCCTTCCTCTCCATGACGGGCCATGGGTGATGGATCATGTCCTGCCACCTAGGCAAATGTTGCCAAAGAAAATCTGCCTCTCTTGGCAGCAGATGTTCTGAACTCTGCCAGGTTCTCCAGGACTTTTATCTTGTGCCGTTCCCGCCCCTCTGCCGTCGTCCCGTCCCAGCCTGCTTCAATGTTGACCTTTCATTCATCACTTCTTTCCTTCCTTTTTCTTTTCGGGTTCGGAAGTCTTGCGCGGTGTTCATTGTCGATCACTGTTGTCCGCCGCCTCAAAGCATCACTCATTGGCACCTTTTAGTGGCACCGTTTACGACTATCACCCAGACCTACGACTACTACACCATTCCAGTACTACTATAAGTTGAATCGTGACTGGTAACGAAAAAGAAGGATTCTCTGCTTGTTACGGTCCTGTTACTCAGTTGCGACTGTTATCGAGTCTGGCTGCCACGCCCGGCAGCAATTGCGACGACAACGCGACTTACGGTTTCGACCAAAGCGCTACTTCCCGCACAAAGTGACGTCGCCGCTGCTGTTCTATTTGGCTTGGCGCTCGAGATCGAATTCGACCGAAGGGCGAGTGGTGGGAACTCGGAGGAAGGGGGACAAACGCCACCTTGCAAAGCACAAACAACAGCGATCCCTAACTACAGCCCAGCGAGATTGTTAGGCTTCTCTTCCGCCTTCGCTTTTCGATACCCGATCTCCTTCAACTGTCGCCTAGCAACCCTCGGTCGTCACAGCTTCCTAAACACTACGCCGCTTTACTCCCGTACGCCACAAAGCTCCGTTGGCTTTCCGCTCCTATCCAGGTTACTAAGTTGGCTGGAACAGCGTTCGTGGTCTGTCTTGGATCTTATTTTAAGAAACGAAACACAAACCCGCTCGGTTCAGATACACAACAGCAGGGCTGAGGCTGAGCCAGGATCCGCCTGCGCGCACCATTTGGTCATCATCGGGCAACGGGCGAGAATACCGGCTGACCGGGACATTGGGGATCCCGCAGCTTAGAAAGAGGGAAACGAAACAAGCAGAGGTCCCGTTTGCGATTAAAAGTATCGCAGGGCCATCCCGTTCCGTTAGCTCAGACACCTTGGACCCTGTTCCTGCGAAAAGCTACGGGCCACCAGCCTCCTCGGCCCCACATCAAAACAAAAGGAGGAACAGGTCAAATTTCCCTGTTTCTGGGCATCAGGTTAGAGTTGCTCGCTTCTTTCGACTTTTCGCCTTTTGGTCTTGCTCATCAACAGTACATCCATTCGACTTTTGCGCCGACTGCTTGCGGAGCACACGACAACTACCGGGTTTACTTACGGCTTGTCCGTACAAGCCACGACAGGATGGCGTGGGACAAGCTTTCCATCACCAGGCCCCACCTGGTGTACATTATCCTGGGCGGCTTCACCTCTCTGTTCATGCTGTGTTCCTCCATTATCAAGGAGCGCATGTACATTGGTGAAGCCACCGTGGCCACTCTCTGCGGCCTCATCTTTGGCCCTCATGCTGCCGGGCTTATAGACCCTATCGAGTGGGGTAATATAGATATCGTCACGATCGAGTTCTCTCGCCTCGTCCTCGTCGTCCAGTGTTTCGCCGTTGGAGTCGAATTGCCAAAGTTCTACATGGAAAAGCACTGGAGATCCGTCACATTCCTCCTTATTCCTGTCATGCTCTGGGGCTGGCTGATCACCAGCCTTTTTGTCTGGTGGCTGATTCCACCCCTGAGCTGGCTCGACAGTCTGGTTGTTGCTGCCTGTGTCACGGCTACGGATCCTGTCCTCGCTTCATCTGTTGTCGGTAAGGGCAAGTTCGCAAAGCGAGTGCCCAAGCATTTGCGAGATCTGCTTTCTGCCGAATCCGGCTGCAACGATGGCATGGCTTTCCCCTTCGTCTACCTTTCTCTTTACCTCATTCTAGACCACCGTGAGGCCCGAGACGTATCATTTCATTGGATCGTCTTCACCATTCTCTACGAGTGCGTTTTCGGCGCCATCTTTGGCTTCATGGTCGGCTATATCGCACGCCACGGTATCAAGTATGCAGAGAGACATGAGCTTATCGACCGAGAGAGTTTCCTCGTCTTCTACTTTGTCCTGGCCCTCTTTTGCGCTGGGTCTGGTAGCATCCTAGGCGTAGATGATCTTCTTGTTGGCTTCGCTGCCGGCGTCGGTTTCTCCAATGACGGTTGGTTCACAAACAAGACGGAGGAATCCCACGTATCCAACGTTATTGATTTGCTCATCAACTTGGCATACTTTGTCTACCTCGGCACCATCATTCCTTGGGAGCAGTTCAATAACTTCGACATCGGACTGGGCGCTTGGCGCTTGGTCGTTCTCGCCATCATGGTCATTCTCTTCAGACGAATCCCCATTATGATGGCTCTAAAACCACTGATACCCGACATCAAGACATGGCGCGAGGCTTTATTTGCTGGTCACTTTGGCCCCATTGGCGTTGGTGCCATCTTTGTCGCCATTCTGGCGCGCGCTGAGCTGGAGCACGAGGATCCTGTCCCCCTTGCCGATATATCCAACATCAACCCGAACAATCCGCACTTCCACCTGATTCGACTGGTATGGCCCATTGTTACCTTCTTGGTAGTGTCTTCAATCATCGTCCATGGCTCATCAGTCGCCGTGTTTACGCTCGGCAAGCACATCAACACCCTTACCATCACCATGTCATACACGCAAGCCAATGAAGATGGACCTTCCTGGATGAACCGCTTGCCCCGCATCACTTCGGTTTCCCGCTCTCAAGCTAGGAACATGTCGGACACCGAAGATGATATGAAGATGCCTGAATTTCCCCCTGGCACGCTGCCACCTACTGGTCTTCCCGGTACCTTTCTGCGTCGCCAGAAGGAAGAGGATAAAGGTACCGGGCGTCATGCGGGAAGCCGATCATCATCGGCCAACGGCCGGCGTCGGAGAAAGAGATGGGATGACGGGATCGGACCCGGAGGCCCTATCAGCCAGTCAGCAATCTTCCCCCAGCGCCGAAGCCAAAGCGAACAGGCGATCGCTTCGCCGCACGATGAGATGTCTCTCGAGCCATCTGACACTGCGCGGTTGTCACCTTCGGATGCCTTGACTACGCGCCGCCGCTCGGTAAGAAAAAGTGAAAAGGAAAGATCATCTGATGAAACCGCCTCTCCTTACGAAGCGAGCCCCACATCTGGACAGAGGGATCAGGAACTCGAATACTATGACGAGGGCGACCATGTCATTGTGGAGGATCGCGAAGGAAATGTTCTGGCTGTGGAATCCTCAGCTACGGGCGAAGGCGAGAATCCAGTGGAGGCTCTCAAGGAGAAGCTTGAGGCTGAGGCTGGGCCATCGGGCTGGAGCTATGACGCCTTGAAGAAGAAGATTCAGAATTGGCGTGATGAAGAAGCGGCAAAGCGCAAGGAAAAGGAGAAGTCTACTAGGAGAAGTGAACCGGCCAGAGCGTACCAGTTTGGTACAACGGTTAGTACCGCTGATGCATCCCCCTTTCGCTTATTCAACTAACCTTTCATGCAGATTATTGTCGAAAACGAAGATGGCGAGGTTCTCAAGAAGTATGAACTGCCTTCAGAGAAGCCAGAAAACGATTTTGTTTCCCAGAGCTTGAAGTACATGGGTATCAAGGCTGGGGACAAGGCAAATGTCGCAGGAGGTGCAGCCGGTGGCGAGGGCTCGGCCACTAGGCCGTCCAAACCAACCAAACGTCCTACGTGGGCTTCGGCCGTGGTTGGTGGTGGCGATGCATCGAAAAAGAAAAATGCGGTGGAAGAACAAGAAGAGGACGATCGTCATATTCGCTTCACTATTGGTGGTGTTGGCCAACGCATGAACAAGGAGGACTTCATCCGGGAGATGCAGAAGTTGGACAAGAGTACGCGCAAGGAAATTGTGGACCAGTCCAACGCATCAAGCGCTGTCAAGAGCCTAGCCAAAGCGGACCTTACGCCTAAGCAGCTACAGCAACCGCAGCCGGTACAGCGCAGAGGATCTCCCGCTGGATCTGTCAAGTCCAGCCACAGCAAGGATAGCCTCACAAGACAAGGGCGTCCTGAGAAGTCGGAGATGATGAGCGGAGGTAGCAATGCTGAACGCAGCGAATCACCATCGATGTCGAGGTCAAGGTCGAGGTCGAGGTCGAGGTCGAGGTCGCCATCGCCTCTCACGGCAGAGGGCGGATCAGCAGCTCCAAGCAGAGACGTTCCGGAAACAGCAGCAGAGCGGAGACGTAGGCTGGCGGTGCTCCAGAGCGTTGGAGATGATAGAGAAGGGGAACAGGGTGAGACACCAGCGGAAAGACGGCGCAGAGAAGCTGCTCTGGGCATGTTTCCGGGCGCAGCTGAGGACGAGGATAGCGAGGATGATGATACCCCCAGGATCCCGCCACCGAGGAGAGGGATCAGGTTCGCGGAGCCGACCAGGCGAGAGACATGAGTTAAATGATTGACTGACTTGGTGAATAATGTTTGGTATGAGGACTGAGCATGAATGGGTTCTGTATATGCCCACGGACGATAAAGTGGAAGAGTAATGAGATGCAGCGAGTTGTTTGAGTTTTTGATGTTTGTTCTTTTAAATAGATATTTTGAGCGAGAAGTGTACATGCAGCGCCGGCAGTACCAAGGATGGCATTGACAATGTTGGCTGACTGGAATATGACCATGTGCGTAGTTGCGTGAACTCGAAAAACATAGTTGGTTTTGGGATCCATCTCCTTGACAACGATTACATTGCACATACCATCACTGCAGTGGTGGGAAAAAGGGGGGAAGTTGGAAAATCTGGGGAAGTACATGTGCTATGTACCTAACTGCCTAATCCTCGGTCCCGTGACTGAAGCGTACCTGATATGGCTTAGCGTCCGATAAGAAAACTCGTCATGGTCGGTGCGATTCGAGGTCCAATCCAACTTTTTGAAACTCTCAGGTCACTGTCCACTGTCCAGCAGAGTTGCCCGTCAAAAAGCAGGTTGTTTTGCTCACACGCTGTGCCTGTATCCACTTATCCGATTTCTCCGATTTCTCAATTGCAACAGACATCCACAAAGCCGATAACATTACCTCGATTCCATACCTGTCGGGCCCAAGTCACCACCACCACCACCACCACCAACGATAGTCCTTCTACCTATTCTACCACCCATCCACATAATCCAAAATGGTTCAGCTTACCGAGGTCGAAGACGAGCACTTCCAGCAGCCGCAGGTCGGCCCTGAGGAGGATGACGAGGATTTCACTGACACTGGTGAGTGAAGCTTTCCTCTACTGTCGAGGACAGAGAAAGAGAGGAGTCTCGGGCTGGAGGGGCTATAAGGACTTGTACGACTACGTCACTGTCGCCATCGCCAAATACCCATGGCATCCCGACGCCGTCCATCCTCAGTCATGCCACCGTGACGCCCACGCCAAAACGACAACCTACCAGACGCAGTTGCCAACCAACATCGATATACCTACATATACACACACACGCGTCTTCCTTCAACATACAATGACATACTTGGAGTCCTATTAGCCCAACAACCACGCGGCATATTACCACCCTCCAATCTAGCCTTAACATCTCTAGCCCGAGTCCTCTCGATACAACACATTACCACCATGGGCCTGTTCTCCTCTTGAGTCTAGACAGATAGTTGGAACGACAAGGCCAAACCCACTAACCCCACGCCTCTACACATAAACAGACTCCGAGATCTCCGTCGACTCCGACTACGAGTCCCAAGAGACCTTCACCGACCGCCTGTACGCCCTGCGCGACATGGTCAGCCCCACCACGCGCGGCTGGTTCTACCACAAGTACTCCACTACCACCAACTTTGTCAAGTCGACACTGTCCTTCGCCGGCCGCGCCGCCTGGGCCGTTTCTGTTTCGGGATTGCTGATCGGCGTCCCCTTCGCCATTGCCTTCGCCGAGGACCAGAACTACGCCGCTATGGAGCAGGAGGCGCGCATGCGCGAGCTTGGCTCTGATGTTCTCACTGCTGGTGGTGAGGGGCAGGCCGGTACGGCCGAGAAGACCTTGGCTGCTATCGGTGGCGAGGGGGCTAGGCCTGCGCTCTAAAGAGGGAGGCAGCGAGTCTTAGTGTGGAAAATGAAAAACAAAGATGAGCGAGGCACGGATGGTTGTTGTGAGCCGGGAGATGTGAAGGGGAGAGAGGGATGGTTGGTCAAAGGGCGGCGGGCTGGAAACCAGCATTTCCAGGATGGGGACCGTTTGGGGGAAAAAAGAACCCCGAGTTCTCTCCGGCGGAGGCCTTGAACGGATACACCTAACCAGCACCCGGTCTCACAACTTGACGCAGTTTGATCTGACAAGACCGGCCAACGGAACGACACCTACGGAATCCCGTTTCTGGGCGAAGAATAGAAGAAGGCCAGCATCGTTAACCAGCTTACGATGATTATCTCGCCATCCCTCGCGAGTTGGCATTTCCCATATTCTCGAAATTCCACTCTCTTCTCCCCGCTCAAACACATCACCACACATTGTATATTATCTGTTTGGTACTTTTGGGTTGTCCGCCACTTTGCATGGTCGTTGTAATGGTATTCTTCTAAAAGCGTACCGCGGGAATGAAGGGAGCCAAAAAGGAAACAGGGAGAGAGATAGAGCATTTATAATTTCCCAACGACATGTTTATGATGAACAACACCAATATCCACTTATTGTACAAAAAGTAAAACGAAGAAAAAATGATCCTCATGAAGAGTGCGTTTACTCGTATCATCTGTCACTAGCACTGATTGTCTCATTTCTGGTGCGCCGTTATATTTGTAGCCTGAGCTCCGCTTACGGTTACGCAGAAAGAGCCGGTAGGACTCCCGAGCGAGTGTAAACAGTAATGAGACAGGATTTCACAAGGTTCTCATAGAAGACATGACTGACACTGCATTCACTTCACTGTGCTAAAAGTAAATATGTATTCAACATCCTGTCACGAGGACTTGGAACAGGAGGCGGACTCGTTTTGGCCGCAGACAAAACTCGATCATGATTGTGGATTTCACCCTTTTCTTTTCTTCCTTTTCTTGTGAAATATCAATGATCATTATCATTTAGATATACCCAACACGTCCTCAATCTGTTGTTGACTGAGAAGCGGCACGATCCAACCGTAACATAGCTGCCAAACCGTCACTAAACAACTAGGAAAGTAATTGCCAACCGAAACGTGACATGCTTCTCCTAAAGGGGGAAAAAAGAAAAAAAAAAAAAAAAAGAAAAGAGAAGGAAAAAATCATGATAAAAGAGAAAGAAGAAAAAAGAAGACGAAAAAGAAAAAGAATAAGGGGACGTTTCGGACAGCCCAGATGTTATCTAGCGATTGTTGTTACTGTCATGGAGGTCATTCAAACTATCTTACTAACCAAGCCATATATGTCCTCGTGCAAGAGAATACAAAGTGAATGAACGTGTCTTGTCAAACATCGCCTGCTAAGTGAATGGTTTATATCATTTGTAGTATAATTATGGTTGTTCGCGGCTGTGTGGCCGTGACAGTCACAAGACAGTGAACTCAGGTTATCCAAACGACACCTCGTTGTCATCTCTCCCACTGAGTTACATGACTATCTATGCGACTTATCAAAACTTCTATGTATGTATGTATATATACAAGTTGGCCTCGTCGAAACCAATCCGCCGTTGACCGTTTATCCCCCCCGCCCCCCCTAACCCACCCACCCACATACATCAACATCAAGGGCAACATAAAGTTGATAAGACTGACATGCACACTCACTCTATAACCATGTCACGCAGGTTGCCAGTCCTATGATAAAAGTACCAAATCACACAAAGGTCAAGCGCTGAAACGTTTTGTTTATTAGACTTATACGAGAGAAGAACCGGGGGGAATCTTGACTATATACACAGACAGACAGATAGATAGATAGATAGATAGATATAGGCAGATGGAATTTTCAAGATCCACAAGAATAAAAAAAAAATACAGGCAAAGGAAAGAAAGGGTACATGTAATAAGCGAATGTGACATAGTAATAATGTGTTTGAGTTCAGTTTGTTTTGTTTGGGTGATGTTATGTGCAAGTGTGATGGAACACAGTGACCGATGGGCTGGTTTAGGTTGTTGGATGGATTTCCTGAATCCATTTTTCTCTACCTACCCATCTCGTCCGTGTGTCCATGTTGTCCAACAACGTAAAGAGGATGTCTGTGTGTTGTATGCGGAGAAGAAGTTTGAAAGGAATAAAGGGGTTAGTCGTCGGACTAAGTAGAGGGGTAGTTTAAATTTCAACGCTTTTTTTTTCTCTTCTTTTGTGGTTTCCTCGCTCTTTCCAATTTTGTTTGTTCTGGTAGTCGTCAAAACAGTTTCATTGTCCAAAGCTAATATGACTCTTGTGAGCATCTTGGAGTGCTGTGTTTCATTTCTCGTCAGTTACTTTTGTTCACGTATACCCGGCAGCTTCATAAGAGGAGAGAAACTTACTCTTCAAAACAGTGAGCTGACCGGTCCTATCTCCACAGGCAATCTGCAGCCCGCTGCCCTCCTTAAAGTCAAGAACTACGCTGTTAGGCAACTCTTGCATCTCCATTTCTGGCTCATAGGGCATCTTGAACTCGCTCATGTGAAATCGCTTTACAGCCTGGGCCTGGAGCGAGGCCGAGAGATTCTGCGCAGGGCTCAGGATGAGAAAGCCGTGGCTGTCGAGGCACGCGGTCCGACGCTTCCAAAGGAGAGTGTCGGGGAACTGGACGTTCACATCGCCCATGAAACATACGATTGTCGGGGGCTGAGGCTGCGAGGCTGGCTGGGGTGGTTGCTGCACCTGCGGTTGAGGTGCTGATGGTTGGGCCTGGCGGGAAGGCTGAGGAGGCGTTCTGTGTTGTTGGGGGATAACTGTCCGTACTTCAGGCGGAGACATTGGGTTCTTCCCCGCGGGCTGAACTTCGGGGACATCCTCCTCGACAAGAGTGGGCGAGATGTTGGGCGCGCCGTTCTTGCGGTTAGGGACGATGTTAGACAGGCGGCGCATAAAGCGCGACGCACGACTTCCATCCTTCTTGCCACTGGACGGACTGAGAGTAGAATCAGCGTTTGAGTGGCTAGATCCAAGTCGTCCCTCATCTTCCGCATGATAGGGGGAGCCGTGCTCGATTGACGATGCTTTGCTGCCAGCACTGTCACGGCGAGACGACTTGAATGACTGGGCGGGCTGGACCGTCGATTGGCGAGATGGCGATCGAGGCGACGCAAGACCGGCGGGTAGCTCATCCGATGATGGGCCCTTGCCAAGCCGGTCCTTCATGAACTCCTTGACGACCGCCATGGAAGAGCGTCTCGTTGAGCTGGCGTCGTCCTCCGCCGCTACACTCTCTGGCCCTTCCTTCCTCGAGAAAGCACGCTGTTCCTCGGACTGAGACTGGTACACTGGCGCGGTTTGCGACGGGGCGGAACGATCACCGGACTGCGTATCTAGCGGGGACTGCTTTAGTTCTAAGCGCACAAAATCCGCTGGGTCAGCCTTCTTCGAGTCTGGGGCTTTTGGGTAAGGCTGTTTGTATGGATCTATTCGGACTATGCGGGCGGTCACTTGAACCGGATCAGGCCGGCCCCTTGGTACGGCTCCCCCCTCAAATATGGAAAGTCGATTCTTTACGGATCCGGACCTACCAATCTGCGACTGCGGATTTGCTGACGTCCTGGCTTCCGTGGTGGATGGTGATCTATCGGCGACGGATGGTGATCTCGACGGTGTCTCACGCAAACTGGGCTTCCGAACTGCGAAGAAAGTAGTAGCAGGTCGCTCTTTCGGAGCGGGGTCCGGCGGCCCAGCAGGGGCACCGGACAACGTCTGGAGTGCCTTGATTCGCTGCGAAATGCTCGAGCCAATCTTGCCGGTTACTGGCTTTATGTCTTGTTGTCCCATTTTCTGGAGGAACCCAGCACTGGTCGAGAGAGACCTGGACGTGCCAGCTTGGACATTCGCAGGCGAAAGCAACGTGTTCCTAACCGGACTGGATACCGTCCTCGAGAATCGCGGTGCGGATGAACCAGTCTCGATCATCGAATTTCTCTTGTATGACACGTCACCGGGGGACAATGAGCCAGGTGACTTTGACGCGGTGATCGGCTTGGCTCCTTGTACGGTTGCCGACTGCAACTCATCCATAAGCCTGTCGTCATCCGAAAGGCTGACCACCGATAACCGCTTGTCCCTGTCAACTCCATCGTAGTCTGGTCGAAGAGGCTCAAATGCAGACTTTGGCCTCGCTTGCGGAGTCTGGACAGCCGACGATTCCCTCCTCTCTGGAACCTCAGATCGCCCTTCCTGAGAAGACACGTTATCTCCAGGCACGTCACCCTGGCCTGGCGTGATGATTTCTGGAACTTCCTGGCTAGGCTCATCGGCCAAATGCTTGCTGTTTCGAGTCGAAGAATTGGAATTCGGTATTGGGAATTCAGGCAATGGTGATCCGTGGTCCTCGGCATCTGTGGCTGCAGCAGAGTTGTCGACTTCCGGGGTGGTTCCCTCTTTCGCTTCTGGGGAAATTGCTGCTTGGTTGTCTGCATCTCCATCTGCATTGCGTGATGCGTCGTTTGCTCCCGAGGACTTGGATATCGGCAAAGCCGGTGCCAAAGCCGCACCTCCTGCCTCCCCTGCCGCAGCATTCTCAACCACAGCCACAGGCGTCCCAATCGTTTCTTCCTGGCTGTTGTCGGCTTGTGAGTCTGCCTTAGTTTCCGCCGCTAGCTCCTCCTGCTTTTCGACATCCTCCACTGACTGCGCGGGAGGCGCATCAGTCCGATCTTCAGTAGGTGCAGCTGCACTCATAGTTGCAGGCTGTTCGAGCAATGTTGGCGCGCCTTCGAGGCTCTGTTCCTTGTCGGCGAGAACGGTTTCATCTGTAGATTCCAAAAGAGAGGAAGCTTGCGTAGATTCGCTCAGATCTGATGAGGTCGCAACAGTTGCTATGGGTGAGGTTGGGTGAGAATCCGTGCGCATATCAACTGGCGAATGATCGCCAGCGGCCTCCCTGTCCACTCCCGAGTCGCCCTGGAAAGTGGTTATTAAGGGGTTGTGCAAAGATTGGGCTTC